TAGGTGATCCCATAGCCACACCTGTTTGTCTGTACAGAACTCCTCGAAAAATGAAAACCGTCGAATGTAAGCAAACTCCAACGCTTTAATAATATCTGAGGAGTCTAGAAGGCAACGCTGTTTAAGATGAGTGTCAGAATCTAACAGGTTATATACAATATCTAAAGCCTTTTTAACAGTAACATTAGTGAACAATGAGCAAACATCAAAACTTGCCATTATTTCATCCTCTTCTATCCGAATATTACTGACAATGTTTTTGAAATCATTAGAATTTTTTATTCCATATTTTATTACGCTTTCATATGGTTTAAGAATTTTGGCCAGGTATCTAGAAAGATTATAAGTTGGTGAATTAATGTAATCAATCACAGGTCTTAGTGGTACATTTGTTTTGTGTATTTTTGGTAGGCCATAAAATCTACACGGGTTATTGCTTTTTGGATATAAAGAGAACCATAAAGATGATCCTAGTTTGGGCTTTAAATTCTGTAGCAATTTGGCTGTTTCAGCTTTCAAATTATTTAAAGTGGCTCTACATTTGCTCTTCATGATTTTTTCATACCGTCCATTATGGAGATGTTCATTGACTTTTTTTCTTTCATAGTCAGAATTATTCATAACAACATTGGTGTTTCCCTTGTCTGCTTTCATAATAACAATTTTTCTGTCTTTCCGTAACTGTTTTAGGGCATACGTTTCTTCTTTAGAGATATTAGGCGTATTAGGTTTTTGATTCAAAATTACATCTGCGATTTTAAACCTCAATGTATTTGCCTGATCATCCGGAACATTGTTTAAGGCAGGCTTGATCAACGGGATAATTTCAGAAGCCGAAATCCGTGTTCTGTTTATATTGAAATTGAGACCATTTTTAAGTATTGAAAGCTCGTGTTGATTTAACTGTCTATCTCAAATGCTCCTACTGTAAACCAGTACTTAGTGGAGTACAGCAAGACTCTGGATGTGGTCATTTACTTTTTATACTGCGAAATAAATAGGCCAAGCATACGGGACGGGTCTGTGCCCACAGTCTGGCTTCACATTGATCTTGGAGTAACAGTTAGACATTTCCTTAAGACGACGGCTCACTGCCATGCAATTACTGTTAGGGCTTTAAGACGGGCATTTACCAAGTTGCATATCAATATATTTACTACAGTATACACAAACTTAGTGGGATCCAAACTTGACGGCTGTGTTCAGGCTTCAAGTCCCTATTTAAACGGTGACTCGGATGTGTTGGAAAAAATGCGGAGGGCATTTACCTGTGCAACTTCAGAACTCCGAGCTATACTATTCACAGTGCGGATCGAGAACGTGGTCTGACTTTGATGTGCAGGATACCAAGAAGTGATTTTCAACCGAACGTATCTTTTCTCTTTCTTTGTACCAGATCAGGCTAACTCAGAGGACACAGCAAGCGGGTTCAAGAGACAAGAAAGAACAACATATCAATGACATTAAGGATTTCATACCAAGTCATCGGTTCTCGAAACTTTTTACCGTCCCTTCAATTAAGTCATTCAAAAGAGGACAATAAACCCATAGAAGTTTACTGGGAGAGAACTAACACAGGCCATTGGCCTTCGGTCCTCGATACATAAGTTTGAACCTAAAGGTATGTAAACCCATCAATAACTGCCTGACTGACTGGAAAGGCTGAACCGTCGAATACCGTAGATTGCTAGAGACCTGGGAAGAAGTGAGCCCAAAGAAACCAATCAGTTTATGTAAGCTCGCCACAAATATATTGGATACTTGAATTTGGTGTTCTAGTAACCGGCAATATTTTAAATAAGTTGACAACGGTAAGATACGAACTAATTTACTTTAAAAACTGGCGGATTATTGTTTAGTTAAACCAATAAATTTATTTGGAAAATTTCAGTTAGTTGAATGATAGTTAAGCGAAGGATTTATGCTTATCTCATAAAAAGTATTCATTTCGACTTATATAAGTTGGAGTTATATTATATATCATATAGAAGTTGGAAATCAAGGCAGAAATTCTGAAAAAGATATAAAAAATATAGCGTAAATATAGACGAATATGCGTCAAATTTTCGCTCTTTTCCCAGCCCGGGGAGATAGTACAAGTTTTCCTTACAATTTCCCTACGGAGAGAAAATGTCTCGAAATTGACACCTGCTCCTTCTTCAAAATATCTACTCTTCTCCAATATATATCTCCTGATAAATTGTGTTTGCATAGATACTGATGTAGTATTAACCTTATTTAGAGTATTTGGACAGCTTTGGTGCTCAAATAGTGACTTATCGTGGAAATTTTCATTAGTTTCTTGCCAATAAAATGCTGTTTACTTGCTTATAAACTAGTGAGGTCCTGTGTTTCTATGAAATATACATTTTCTTGTGTAGCCAAAACATTGATGCTCCCCATGTGTGGGTTGTGCCACAAGACTAACAAACGCCCAATATTCTTGAGTTTAACAACTAGTTGTTGAGAATTTCTTAAGATATTTTGAAAGATTGTACCTGATGTCTAACTATCTTAATAGGAATGTGCTCGTTGAGAAAAATGACTGATCTCATTAACATTTCTATAGCCTAAACAATCTTTGGGTCAGATGTTTATGGTTGCATGTCCGGAGTCCGTTTATAATGTAAGTTGGTTGATATTGGATACCTCCGAAGACTATTAGTCCATTGGTTTCGGTTTATAGCACAATCTGCTTATGGGAGGTGTGGTTATTCCAAACAAGAGTGAGGTATCTCTTGAAGATGGATGTTGGCAGTGGTCTGACATGCTCATCGTTCTCAACATAAAGTACGTTTTACTCGGATGAATAATAATGTGTTGAGATAGCCAAAACACTTCTTTACTAAGAACAGATTACACAATGGCCGGAAAACTCATTTGAATATGACGTCCATATATCTGCATGGTAACACTTAAATGCTGCTTTATCCCAAAAACATCCATAATGTCGTTCGTTAACACAATACTGTTTGAAGGTTTAGGATAAACCGAATGTGGTGACAGTCTAGCGGCAGATTAAAATGGAAATTCTATCAACAAGAACAGTTTATAAGTGACTTAAGGAATGAACGGTCACAAATAAAGCAACAATAGTCTTGATATAGTTTGAAGGCAAAGTTAAAAATGTTTCCTCGTCTTGTTCAGTCTGAGAGCACTTCCGAATAAATAAATTTTTGTGTTTAAAACTAAACTAAAAACTCTGATTGCGTAGATCAAAACAATTAATACAAGCGGGAAATATTGTTTTCAGTTGGAAATGGACGAAACCGTCAATGGACAGTTCTGTTTAACCATACTTGATCATCATTTCCATGTGACATATAAGACCTAATCATATTAAGCGACCCATCATATACCTTCGCATTCTCTCAGTATGTTTTAATCCCATTTTTACACTAGTCAGAAACTATGGAAATGTGAGCTAGTAACTCCATTCCATCATTTATTAAATATTTATAGTACTCATGTTCCTTCCTTGGTTGTAGGAAACTTAATAGAGGATTATAATAATTCTACATACATTTTGCTTCAATTTCCTCATGATTTTGTATCTCTTACTTATTAATTATTTAATTAGGCTGATTACTCACTTTTGATTACATAATTTTCGTGACAATCCTTTTGATGAGTTTATTTTATCAGGCTGGGGTATTCATTTATGCTACTTCGGTTAATCTTTACCATTGCTAGTGTACTTACAATTCTATCATCAATTTCACTTTTTTTAATTATGAGCAGTTGTGTAATCCACCTCGTTATCGTCTCTAACATGAATTTTCTTGACTGATCTATTCTTCGTATGGGTGTATAAATTTTGCCGTAAATGGAAATAGAGCTTGATGAAGATCTAATTAAAAACAATCTTGCTCGTCTCTGTGTTTAACGAAAATTTCATTTGGTAAACATGTTACTGTTGAAACTCCGACTTTAATATAATATTAATAAACCTGTGATGCATGACTACATAGTGTTAAATAATTGTGTTTTCTGATTTAACGTTAAGTTCATTAGGGTAAACTAAATATTGCCATTCATTAATCTGAAGTAGATGTAGTTCATGGTAAACTTTGCAGATTTTACCAAACGACTGTCTGATCTTATTTGCAGTGCAACTTAATAATTAGACAAACTCAAGTGATTCTAGGGTTCTTTGTGGTGAGACTAAATTAACATATAATTTGTAATAAACTTATGAAAAAATGATTGATCTAAACTCTAAAATTAAACATAATCAATTTTACGAAAAGTACAAATGTTTTGACAAAAGCAAACGAGGTGAGCGTAAAAAAACTACCAGACTGGAAATTTTTGAAAACACTGTAACCTTGAAGTTACTATTAAGACGCATTAGACACAAATAAACAGTAATATCTTCGCTTCAGAATTTGAAATCTCGATTTCAATATGTGGTCTAATTTCTATTATCATTTGGTGGGTGAGAATGTTAACTTGTGTCGTCTGGTGAATGGTTTTGCTGATGGAAAAAAAGATGCGACCGTTTGGTAACTAGAAAATCATGCTTTCGTAAAAGAGCGACGTATTCAGTGGTGGTGTGGGATTTTGAGAACGAACCTGAATACAATGTCTACCCCGTTGACACTGAGCTCCATACAAGCTGAATTTATTGCTGTAGACGTTTCTTTTGGCTTATGCGTAGCTTTAAGTGGGCATTTGTTAACATGTTAAGTTTTCAAATTACACTGAAAATTGAAAACGCGTATATGGACACGGTATTTTAGATGTGCTATCTTACTTATCTTGGTTGAACGTAACATATTTAAGGAGATTTCCAAAGATATAATACATTTAAATAAGTATTTTCTTATCGGTAGGATATTCATGTACTATTTTAAAAATTATTCCTCATTCATACTTCAAAACTTTTAGAATAATCCTGGACACTTCATTCACCGAATAGGAATATATAAACATCATATTACTCTCACAAACTGCAAACACTTCAAATTAGGTTGATAATCAGTACTAAAGAACCCTACATGACAACAGGTAAATCTAGGGATTTTTAGTGTTATGTCACTGAGTTGCTTTTTACAGGTCCTGAAATTTCGAAGGGTTTAGAACAATGGAATACCGATTCGGGAAAAAATGCAATTTTACAATACGGATTTGAACTTATCAGTGATACTGTGAAAGCTGAATTAGTTCCGCAACTACTTCTGGATTCTATAAAGGAAATTTATCAAGATATTAATTCTAATCTTTCAAATTTAGATGCTATCGCTTTTAAAGAAGTAATAGCTGAACTATTTTAATGGACCAAATACATATTTGATTGTCTTTATTATGTTGAAAAAATATTTAAAACAATGTTTGAATTCCACAAATACGCAAAAAGTGCCTAAAGGATTAGGCGAAATGTTATTTCTTAATTAATGAACTATCTGCTGGAATAAACCTAATCGCTAGCTGTTATCTCATATTTGATGTGTAAAATAATATATAATTCCTGGCACAATGCTAAATTATGTTTAAAGAAGGTAGAACAACAAAAGTACCGATGAGTAATCTACGGTCCACATTTTCGTAGACAAATAAATAAAACAGAATAGCTGAAAAATCTTTGAAATCAGTTTAATTATTAAAATAGTTATAGAACAGCATTACCAAAATTATTATAACGAAGCTATAGTTAGCAAAGATGGATATTGACTGGCAGTGGGACTTAGGACGCGCGTTTCGTCCTACTTCGGACTCGTCAGCTGGATTTACTTGCATCCCAGAGTTGGTGTTCACTCCGAGATGAACATACGCCAATAAGAGACTGATCAATTGCAGTCCTAAAAATCAATGGGAAGATTCAAACAAACGAGATTAATTTAAAGCTATAGTTGTTTGTTACTTCTAAAGTTCTATAAGTCTTTCTTTGTCAATTTTCAAACCGAATTCAACTCGTCTCACTAGTAGTGTATATGCATATAATCTATCAGTGCATAAAATATCCTTTTGAATGTCATTAGTTGTAACTCAAACGTTTTATCTTTGTTCAGCGTGAACTAAAATTACTCACTTTTAACGTTTCAGTGTGAGGAGTCAATGATACTTAATTAATTCGTCTATTAACAATAATTTTGCAATAAAGCATAAATGTAAATATGTATACTTATAGATATATACCACTGAATATCTTTAAATGTGTGATAGACTAGATGGAGTCTCTTGTTTATTAGAGTTCATTGGTTTACTTTGCGACAGATAGATGATAAGTATAAGGGAATTATTAGTGAGAAATTATCCCTGAAAATCTTATTTTGAAAAAAGGATGGATACTGTTTATATTATTCTTCCATGTCTTTAAACAAAACACAGGAATCAAAAAATGGTACCACTCAACGTATTACACCCAAAGTAATCATGTCTGAATTAAGTAAAGTTATTCAACCTGAAGAATTCAGTCAAACAAGTGATTTACACCAACCAATTGTACAAAAGTTTGGTGAAAAATTAAATAACCGGGGAAAGATTTGGTGTGCGATTTCGGCAGATAGAGCTGTTAAAAATGCCTTAGCATTTGACATTCTTGAGAGTATTTTACTAGGACTAATAAAGTTTACGGTACCAAGAATTGTAAGTTAATTGTATTTTTCTTCTGGTATTCAACTTGATTTCTGCATAACCTATCAGTTTAATTGAGTCAATAGTGATGGAGAAGTAACCACATTTATAAAATGACCTCAGTTACAACCGATAATTCTAGTAATTTCATTCGATTAGATCAAAAGTGTTAAATACATCAGGAAGAAAACAATAAATAATCAAAGCGACTCATCTAATGAACGTGTACGTATATATTTAGTCGGTGTTACAACGATATGTATCATATGTACTTAAATAGTCTGTTACAATGTCCTATCCTTATAGAAGTAAAAGGTCAGACCACGACATCGATCCGTGATTATTAGGATCATGTAAAAAAAGGCCGTAGACTTTGTTAGAAGTGTTGTGGTCTCTGAGTTGGATTGTTTGGTTGTTTAGCCTTCATTGTTCGTCTGAACAACATAGTCATTATTCACTTCAAAGAGAAGTGAGCTACTAGAACTTCTTCGCAAATGACTATCAGCTTATTGCGTTGACCTGGAATTCGGTTGATGGTCATCCAAAACCATTTGGTCGTTGTTTTTACATTTGTTCTGGTTGTTTTCTCTCTCGACCTGAGTCCTGACCTCATCGTTTACGTTTACATGCACAACAGTTAGTTGTTAGACGACATAACACAGCTTCGCATATATCAACACATGTGGACAACCGTGGTTTTGAGTTGGAAACGCTGAAATATTAAACAAATAAGACACACAACAAGCCAGAGTTTTTAGACGTCTGGGATTCTAATTGGGCGTCAGTTAATAAGCACATCGGAAGCAACTATACCTGTCAATCAGTAAGAAAATGCATTTAAAAAATGCGAGGCTAGGGTGTAGGTCGGGAGAGAAAATAACAAAAAACAACGACCACACGGTTTTGGATGACAATCAACCAAATTTCAGGTCAACACAATAAGCTGTCAGTCATTTGCGGAGAAATTCTAGTAGCTCATTTCTCTCTGAAGTGAGCAATGATGTTGGTCTGAAGAACAATGAAAACTAAACAACTAAACCACAGCAATTGCGAAATCCTCATATTGAGCTACAAATATTTTCCATCAACTGTAGACGTCCTTTGTATATTTTACAGGATTACAGAAGCAGAAAACCAAACGATGTTAATTAAAGTCATTCACCATTTTTCAAACCTACGTATGTGCTATCGACCTACAATTTCTATTTCCTGTGTTTTCCAACATTCGATTATCTTGTTTGAGCTACGTGTTACTGTCGGTGTTATGGTTGTCACTGTTTTATTGCTTATTTTCAAATGTTCACTCGAAGAAATGGAAATAAAATAATGGTATACTGAGGCCATCGTAAAGATAATGATAAGCGAATATTTTTTGAGCACGTAGACAAGGTGTCATTTCACGGCTAGGAAGAGCCTCTGCTATTTTGAAGAGTTGAATGGGAAGAAATCTTGGTATATTTTGTCGTATTCTATAAATATCTTTCAAATCAACATGTGAATTAGTTGAGTGATTAGAGCTGAGTAAACGTTTCGTGATGGAATTCCTAACAGCCTCTCTCACTCTGCTGGGAAATGTTCTCGTATCCGTGTTAAAGCGATCACTAGATACGCCCTATGTGTCTCAGTTCACAGGAGTAGGTAGGCTATTAGGTGGATTGAGAGATGACTAGACTAGAGAGCCTATCCTTCACAGATATGGAAAGCAGATTTCAGTTCTTAACTTTAGTGGCAGTTTTATTGCATTGATCTTCCTCTCAATTACTGAAGGTAAATGATTTTTAAGTATATTGGAATTTTGGTCAGGTAGGTAGATATGGAAAGAACATAGAATGGGATTTAAGTGAACATTTTCATCGCAAATGGCGAGCGTGTTATCCATATGTCTTTCCGTAAAATCTAAATTGTTTGATGACCAAACTAAGTTGTTTGTCTTCAAGCATAGACGTGAAACACTGTGGTATTAGTAGTTCTAACGGGGTCCCATAGCTATGTCTTCCCTTTGACTTTATACTTAATTGTTGAAACTCAATCAGGTGTTGAAAATTCGAAGTAATAATAGCCCTTTCAGACGGTTATTTCGCAAACTGGCCCCTGCGTTGTGTGGGTTATTATAGTCACAGATGTAGTGCATAGTGATCATTAGTTAGCAGAGAACTAACAACAAGGAAGACCTGAGTTCTCCAGAATTTGAAAGACACTTTTATTTAACATATCTTTTATAAGGGTAAATTATTAGTTTACATTATAATGAGATAGGGAGTGAAAGAAATACATTAAAGTACTATACTTTGAAACACTTCGGAAAGAGGAAATCAACTACATTGTCGTCTCAACTAAAAACCATGCCAGTTTTCCGTTGGACTAATCTCGATAGCATCACTATAGTTGGTAAGCCCTGTCATGCCTTAGTTTAAATCCCTTATCCCATTTTACTTTAGATAAGATTCCGATGAATATTTTTATGTTACAGATTAGGTTTACAATGGGAGAAGAATTCGTTTTTATCATTATTTTTGAACAAACAATAAGTGATACTATCAAAGAGTTGACTACCAATGAATATAATCTTCAGTATAAAATCTTGCGGATGAATCGGCTAAAAATGGTAATTCAGTAGTCAAATAAAATTTCATTGTTTTTAAAAGAAAAATAGTATGTTTGCTTGGTTGTATTATAAAACGATTGAATGCCGAGAATTCTATACTAGTATTACCGTCTTAGTTTATATGCTTTCCTATGATTTTTCTTATTTAATTTCAATTCAATTTATTCAAACACCAAAAATAATGTAGGAGTCACAACAGGTAGTACAGATCAGTTATATCTGTCATTGACGTCCACTGACACTTTTCATTGGATTTCAGTAAATAAATAAACATGTCGTTTTGTGCACTATTATGGTTATGGTTTTCTCTTTTCCTTCGTCGCCACTGTTATGATATCTTTTATATTCCAAGATGACAAGGTTGGATGGACGTAGGGATCACAATAAAAAAAAAGTTAGTATATTTATAATTTTTACGTAAGGAGATTCTAGAGTCTTCTAAAAGCATCATCCAGTGTTAATTGATTAAGAAATAGCCAATCAGCTTGCCCCAACACAATCCTGCATGGAACATGTTTTAATCTAATCTTTATCCTGCTAGCAACATATGAAATCCAGATGAAGGTAGGATCCCCCTAATTAAAAGAAATCGTTAAAGTGGTCCAATAAACCTACATTTTCCTTTAGAAATATTTCCAAACAATTTGGTATATATCAGTATAGGGTTGTGGAGATTGTTGAGTTTAATTCGATGTCATGAATGGATTAATGATAGACCATCATTGATCCATTCATGATGTCAATCTAGAAATTTTGTATGTGTTCGACTGGATTTTTTTTACTTTAGCTGTTTTTCGATCAATAAGCAAGGAAAAACACGTAGTATAAGAATATGAATTAATCTAAATATATATGACATTTGGCGATAGTAAATGTATTTACTAAATATTTATGAGTTCCTTAATAACACCGTTGATCATTAACGGGGTACATTATTATGGTATCAAGCATGAAGACTTGAAATTCTCCAAATAAGTATTGTGTTGCCATAATATACATGTTTGTTGAAAATCTCGTTTCCCCCATTTAGAACCCTTGATCAATCTAAGATATACCTTTGGTTTAAAACATTTATATATTGTTAACTACATTAAAGAGGTTTTGTTTTTGCTTGTAAATTGTGCATTACTAATGGCGTTTAGATATTTAACTCTTTATTAGTTGTGTCAAGTAAGACATATTTTTTGTATGTCATTTATGACAAAACCAATGACTAAACTATAACTTCATTATTTTAATCATTAACTTACTTAACTCCAACCAAAATTTGTACACAACCTAGTCTACAGCGTTTATCGGCTCTCAGGTAGGTTCCATAATGAAAACATTACAAGCACTATATCCATCCCACCATTGTTGCTGGAATGCGTTAAAATTTTACATAGGTATGAATGGACTTTGTTTCCTTAAATAGACTTTGTACCGCCAGTTTTTCCTTCGGATAATTATGTAAAATTAAAAAAAATAAAACCATGTAAATCATGACAATTGTATGATGTGTGACGCAATGTTTTTTTTTAACTATATTAATTGATAAATTAATATTATCACGTAAATACTGGTAAAAACTTATTACAGATCGATAAGGTAGCAAGAAAAAAGCCTGGTGATGTACTCGTTTCAATGGCTATTGACTCATTATTATCACTTTCAATGCCTGGTCCAATTACTGGTACATATACAAACAGTTCGATTGAAGAGAAACTATTAAAAAGTTAAGTATAATTCGAGGTTGTGGTTTTATCGTTTATGATTGTGAATGACTGAATAAATTTTGCTAGCTTAAGTTCATGTCAGCGTTACAATCAATTGAGATATTTGTAATTACATATAGTTATTATATTTTATGGACATCATTTTATTTTAATATTACACTGCGAGTTGAGCCTATATCTCTCAAGCTTAGAACATTTAATGATTATTTCACAATGAATGTTTTCACAAGAATATTCTAAGTTGCTTAAAAATCCATATTAATGAAATAGATTCCGTAGACCGTAGATTCCGTGTAGATGATTTTCAACCAGTGAATGTGTCTTAAATTACTGGCATCTTTTGTCTAGATGGGCCATATGAATGCTATTTAGGGGCCTACCACACTCAATATTCTTCTCACTAACCTTTAAAACTGTTCGGAGGATATGTAACGGGAATTAGTTTATAACTGGCACAAGATAGAGATATTTATCAGGCTGACATTAATACTAGTCAGATGGAATTTCGTATTTATCGGGTAAGAATTTGAGCAAGTCTAACTTTGTTTCTTAAGTAATGGTTTTCTTAAACAAATATAAACAGTTTTCATGAAAGCGTCTCCTCAATTCAATTACATAATTTTCTTAAATGTCGCTTTTGTGACCCTAATTGAGATTAATAGGTTGTCTAGGAAACCGCTTTTAAATTTATTAGGGAGAACGCAGCTAGAAAAATTTTCTCACTATTAATTTAATTTGGCCACGTGTCAAAATGATGAACAACATTTAAGATAACAAACCTTATATTCTGGGAATAGAGGTCTTCTTAAATCCTTGCCTAATCAACTGTTTAATGTAAGAAAACATTGTCGCAGAGATTATAATTTCAGTCATTCTACGAGACAGTGACTTTTACACTTAATTTTACATGAAATAATTCTGGATAGCTTTATTATGTGTTCCACACGCATACTTTCCAACATCGTAAATTTGATTCTTCAAGTGTATTCTACGAGACTACGAATGATGTTTGTTTGAATTTGCTGCCAAAAAATGAAAGCGAAACATTTGGAACACTGGTGTGTTTAAATGTAGAATGCATCATAAGTTTACTATTTGTTTTGTTTGTCAATTAGCTTTAGTTTGTGACGTATTGTTAAACCGAATTTGTTCAGTTGATGAAGCTACCAATAGAGTTGGTGAATGTTTGCCCTTGGCTACGTATCACGACATGATAAGTGAGGATATAGTGAGTACATTTAATAGATTTATTTATTAAACTTTGAATGACACTAGACGAGCAAGAAAATGTATATTTTTCTTACTAGTTTTTCCAACAATAGCTGCAGCTCACTAACTCAAGCTGTAAAATTTCATCTTATGTGGAATAGTATTACCCTCCCTCCATCATCTACGCACATTTGAAAAATTTTGGTCCAAAACATACTACAGAAATTCACATAACACGCTGAGATATTCGCTACCAGTTTAATGTAAAGTGTTTTATCAACTACTTTACATCACTGCTTTAAGTTTACGAAAGTGAAAATAAAATATGACTGTTTCACTTTTTTATTTATTTGAAAATAATTAGTTGTATTATGAACCGAAAATAATTGATGAACTTCCGAAAGCATCGACTACTGGATAATTTTCTTAATTTACTTTACCCGTCAACAGTTTATTAGGATTAATAGTTAGCTTAATAACTTGACTTTTTATTGATGATGAATTAATGGGTGTTTTAGATTTTCATTTTAAGACAATTCATTTATGTAAAACAACGTGTCTATCTACATAGTAAATCTTGTTTGACTTTGGAATTTTAACCAGTGAGATGGTTCAGGTTGGCATTGGCTAACTGGAGTTGTCAGATTTTGTCGTTGTTGTGTGATTCATCACTAATGAGTAGAGAGATTTTAACGATTTAGGCGATTTGCTAAATATAGCTCACTTTGAAATTATTTTTGACAGCGGATTGAGATTTGGTAAACCATCACGATAAACATTTTCTATTCCTGAGGCTGATGCTCACATCTCCTTTCTTTGGCATCTTGATGAGGCATACTTCTATCTAGTCTGTCAGTACTTGTTTCTCGTCCCAAATCTTCCTGAATAGAACGCGGAGCATACTTGCAGTTACTTCTATGTCCGACTTCATTGCTTCAGCTGGTATATTTCCCGGTTCTGGTGATTTCCATTTCTTGATTTGTCTGATGGTCATCCTGATTTCGTCTATCGTTGGTGGAGTGACATCCATTGGAATGTTTGTGTGTGTTGCCACGATGTTTTGTGGGTTCAGTGGGACTGGTCTATTGAAGGGCTTTTCATTGTGTTATACCTACATGTTACGGTTTTCTGCAATCTCAGTGATTGGATTGAATTCTTTGTCCATCACTAGTCTATCTGGTTTACCATATTTCCATGCTAGTTTCTTCGTCGCGTCAGATAGTTGTTTCATATTTCCTTTTCTTGCAGATTTTTCCGCTGTCGTTGCCAGCTCTTCCACGTATCTCTGCTTGTCAGCTCGAATGCTCCCCATCACTTCCTTGCTTGTTTCTGTGTATTGAGCTTATGCCTTAACTTTCTCTGTTCTTGTTCGACTGTTGTTAATTTCTGTCTTCGTGTTCTTCCTTGAATCTTGTCCAGGGTTCCCATGGAGATCTATTCCCTATAATGATGCTTCTCGCCCCCCCCCAGGACCTCCAGACGTTTGATCTTCCGACGTTATATTAACAAGTTTTTAACTATAACTCTCTTGAGCTGGTATATGAACTTACATCTGGTTGGCCAGTTATTTTATGTTTAAAAAACATGCATTGATCTTTCGTTTTTGATTACATTAATTTCAATGTGATTTGTAAATCATATTGTTGTATCAAAACACTTATCAGTTTGGCTCGTTTTAGTACTATTCTAAATTCAAAATTTATGGATCCCAAGGTTCGATGAAAATCAGTTTTTGAAAAATATAAATTTATAGGATAAATCAGTACCTAGTTTTATTCAATTCATGTAGCTAGATAAACACAACTTAAAAGTTCAGCACTAAATACATTCACTTTCATCAGTTTTTTACAGAGGGATTAGAAATGTTGAAATATCACATTGATAATGACCTTGAAGATATTGATCTCATAGAAACTCATCAAGAAACTAAGCCAGGTATATTTTTATGGCAAATTTTAAATATGGTAAATTCTGAGATTTTAAATGTTGAGATATCTGATAATTTATTTCCTGTACAGAAATAAAGCCAACCCTTCTGTACTTCAAAGTTTTATCATACTTGAAATCGTTGCTGTACTTATACATATGTTTGTTTACTATGTGTCTTCAGTTGTGTCTAACTCACAGTTCTTAGAGTTGAACACTTAACAGTTTTGATTCTCACTGTTTACAATTTTATATAAACCATGTTAATAAATAGATGCAGTCACTCTTAAGATGATTAATGTTGTAACGTTTTCTTTATGACAAATTGTGTCTATCCAGTCCAGTGGTAAATTGATGAACGGATATTTTATTCATTAAGTTAAAAATCGAGATTGTATATATCTCTGGCTGTCCGTTTTGAAAAATATTATTTGGATTTCTCTCTCTTTGATCCTTTCGTTCCGAGAGGTTATGCACGGTGAATACAATTTGTAATTGAAAGTATAAACTTATTACTTTGATTGAGATCATGGACCGATTGATGGAGCTAATCCGTGTCGGGTAGAAACAGGTGTTTACCTCAGTACAATGGAAGATGGTCGCGCAACTTCGTGGATCGGTTGATGTTAGACACTAACACCACTGGATGCCGGCTCAGTGGTCCAGTATGTTGAGAGGCCCTGGGTTCGAGTCCCGTGAGCGGGATCGTGGTTACGCACTGCTGAGGAGTCCCACAGTAGGACGAAACGGCCGTCCAGTGCTTCCAGGTTTTCAATGGTGGTCTAACATCAATCGGTTCATGATCTCAATCAAAAACTTAACAATCTCCACAACCCCTAAAATGATAAAACTTATTATTGTTGTTCATATCCTATTTGCTTCCACTAACTAGATTTGACTCAAGCATTTGCAATAATCTCTGTTTGTTGCGGATGCACAATTTCAGCGACTCTTAGTAGCCCTTTATATGAATCCATTTAAAGCGTGGGACTATCGTTATCAATTTATACGCATCGTCAGTCCTCGTATATTAATTATCGACTTAACTCGCGTTAATGAATAACAGAATTAAATAAGTCAAATACGAGAATGCAGTTTCGAATACGTATATTTTGTACAATCGTTGATCAGAACAGACAATCAGAGACGGAGCGAAGGAGATGAAGAGAAGAGAGAGAAGCGAAACTAGATGACACACAATGGAGGAGGCGTGTGAGCCAACTCGACGTAACCGAGCGTAAATCAATATTGATAGTCAGACGAAAATAAGTTACAGATATGTGCACACATACGCTTACATAAAAACAACCAAGGTTGATAAGCCAGTAAGTGATAGGGTAAAAATGTGGCTAGAGAAGAACGCATAGATTGATCTGTCCAGAGGCCAGAATAACCTACGTGTGCTTGACATAGAACCGGCCTTTATAGACTCATAACCATAAGTGAATGTCATTTAAAGCATACCTAATGATTTAATTTTGTTCCTTGAACATTATACAATACCTGTGTTTCGTTTTGGAAAAATAGCACAAGTATTTCTTCAGTGCAACAATTATGTTTTATTATTGTTTTTTATTTTTTTCTACAGTTTTTAATGCATACGGATAATGTTTTCTATGCTGATACTGGTGCCGATGAAGGATATTTGTTTGTTAACTAAGGATTAGTTTTGTGACCCCTATTTTCATAACAATCGGAAGTCATCATTGTGGAGTATCCGTTATTTTCGGAAAACTCATTTTTAGCACAAAACTTTAATCGTATACACAGAATTTCAGTGCTACCAGATTTTTCCTCTATAAAATACAGTTTGTAAAATAATAGTAATCAAAAATTTGTTTATATTTTACTTAAAGCAGTTTTCAGTGAAATCTATTCTTGCATTTCACGAGTAATAATACCTTTGTAATCAATAGTAAGTTGTTTATTGAAAGGAGTGAGATTTTCTAGAGGGGGGGTGCAATTGAGTTTGATACCACAGTTCTCCTTCATTGGCTGATTTTCAAGCGGACCCCGAGAAGTTCTGTATGTATATGCACATATCCATCGTTCGTTCTGGAGTAAAGTAGTAACGAAAATTCTGCTTTCGTTAGTTTTCTCATTTGTTGGGGGCTAGATAGAGAGTCTTTATTGTTACATTACTAGTTAGGTTGAACAAGTGATTGACCACCGAGTAGTAACCACTGTCATATTTGTCTAGCCCTTTTATTAGTGCTGACCGAATCCGACCAATCAAGTTGCAATATATTCACTGGTCTAAATGACTTAACATCGCGCGAACTTGGGATATTAAGTGGTTGTAGGTAGTCAACAGGGGACTCTAGACCCATGTTTCGTGCTAGTTGGCACTTGTTAACATGACGTACCTATAATGCTGAGAAAACTGGTGATCTTTAATGAATTCAATCCCGTTTCACTTAACCTCAGAGTTTGCGTAGTTACCACTGAAATATTCGGGCTATGAATGGCCAAACAGACCTGGTTTTATCACTGCTCAGTGATGAAACAATTGTAAATATCTCTGTCCGAACATTTGAATGGTAACTATTCAGACTCTGAAGCCGAGTGAAACGAGATCGAGTCCATTAAGGATCGGCAGTAACTCTAGAAGAGCTACAGGCGGAGTTGGGAGTCGAACATAGGACCTTTGATCTCGCTCCCGAACACTTGACCTCTAGACCATTGAGCTAGCATCTAACGGCATTGATGTATAACCTCAATCAGTTCATGACATTGCGTGACCATCTCTCATCGTCTTCAGTGGGTAACTACCTCACACCCGACACGGTTTATCTCTAAACATTAACTTATTAATAGTCAGATTACTTCAACTAGTTCAATGTAGCAAATTAATTTCTTGGTAAATGAGTTTATCGTTGGAAACACAAGAGAACTTTGCTCATAAAATAATCATATGCCGAAACTTTCAAGCTGATGGCTAAACTGGTTACAATTAAGCTACCAAACTAAAACTCTAATAGCTGCTATTTTTATATTCCATATCTAGGCTGTATCACGCGGTCAAATCTCTATGCGATAAGTTTCTTCTTATCCCTAACTCAATCCAGTTTGATTAATGGTAAGAGCTGGTTGACTGATTTATTAAATAACTTGTGAACAATTAAGTCTCTTTCATTTATGCGGCAGTTGCGGATAGCACTTAGCAACTAAATTGCAACCAGGGCGTGGATATCAGCTTCTTTTCATTGCTCAGTTGGCAGATTACTGGTTGTGTAACGTAAACTTACCATCCTTTAACACTTCACACGTCCATGTTTACGTTTATTTTCAATCAACGTGCTTCGGTTTGAGCACCTGGGCAGTATCACAGTCCTCACACATATCGAATGAGATTTGTGTGGCGCATATGTATTTGGTGCCCCCTTGTACCAATATCTATGTGTTAAAATAAATAATAAATAAAGAAATTATTTGGACATCTTTCTGGTCGCTTTATCTGTACATGCATTGATTTACAAACACTACGGGAAATCCATAGTTCCATTAACAGTAATGTCTAATTCACATAACACTTTATCAATTACTGGATTGTAAAGTTGGCTGCACTTTTAATAGTGGCTTAAGTGAAATCGGTGAATTCCGTTACATTCCACTAGTGATTCGTTGGCCGATTATACGTGGATCATAGTGCGAATGTTGATTTCCAAACTGGAAAATACAATCGACTTGTTAAAAGACCACATATTACCAACAAAGAATTACGAAATCCAGTCATAAACATCAAAAACTAATAATACAAATCTTCCAAACAAATAATATTGAATTTTCAACCTTTGTTGTGATATCCGAAAACTGCTTACAAGAAACAATGCTTAAAGTCAGATGATCGATTTGAATTACTCTTTCAGTTTATTTGACAGACGAATGAGTTCGGGAAAGACCAACAATATTCGAATAGGGTGAAATACAAGAATTAAGGCAGAATAATTTGAATTCATAATATTTCGTGGTCTCTGTTCAGCTGCATGCAATATTCAACATCAGTATCTAACAATATTTACTCTCGACATACAAGTGAAACTTTACTGTGACATATTTCACAGAAACTGTGCAACGATCATATTCGGAGATTATCCTTTATGACATTAAATAAGAAAGAAAGATTAGTTCAGCGAACAGTTCTCTTTTCGGCGAATTCATTTTCAAAGCTGTACAATCGCAAATATATATATACTTATTTTTACAGGGTGATAATAATACTGATAATAAACTTATGTTATACATGGTGACAGTGAGGTTAAATAAACAAAGGTATAGAAAAATGTTTTAAAACAAGGAAAGTTTGATAGTTAATGGCTTAGATATTCATCGGGTAAGGGTAGCTCAGCATGATAAAATAACATAAAATGTTGAAACAGAGATGAAATATAATCGGAATGATCGTGGAAATAAAAACAAACCGGTCTGATATTAAGTTTTTTGTGCGTTTGTTGATAACTGTGGTAACATAATCGGTGAAAAGATTGTGTTCGTTAGGTGATAACTCATATAATACAGGAGATCTTTGTGAAATGTTAAGTTCCAAGGACCCTTCGACAGTAAAGGAACTTAATGAGTTTCTGCGTTTTTCTGTCAAACTTGCGGAAGTGAATGCGAAGATTACCTTTCTTAACGATTGCGTTAAAATGCACAAATATCCTAATTACTACTGGAAAATTCTTCGAAGAAACCATATTTTCCCAAACTCGAAATCTCTTAAACGCCATGCACAAAATGTTATTGACTCTATTCGTCCACGCATTCCACTATTGGAACTTAACATTTCACAAAGATCTCCTGTATTATATGAGTTATCACCTAACGAACACAATCTTTTCACTGATTATGTTACCACAGTTATCAACAAACGCACAAAAAACTTAATATCAGACCGGTTTGTTTTTATTTCCACGATCATTCCGATTATATTTCATCTCTGTTTCAACATTTTATGTTATTTTATCATGCTGAGCTACCCTTACCCGATGAATATCTAAGCCATTAACTATCAAACTTTCCTTGTTTTAAAACATTTTTCTATACCTTTGTTTATTTAACCTCACTGTCACCATGTATAACATAAGTTTATTATCAGTATTATTATCACCCTGTAAAAATAAGTATATATATATTTGCGATTGTACAGCTTTGAAAATGAATTCGCCGAAAAGAGAACTGTTCGCTGAACTAATCTTTCTTTCTTATTTAATGTCATAAAGGATAATCTCCGAATATGATCGTTGCACAGTTTCTGTGAAATATGTCACAGTAAAGTTTCACTTGTATGTCGAGAGTAAATATTGTTAGATACTGATGTTGAATATTGCATGCAGCTGAACAGAGACCACGAAATATTATGAATTCAAATTATTCTGCCTTAATTCTTGTATTTCACCCTATTCGAATATTGTTGGTCTTTCCCGAACTCATTCGTCTGTCAAATAAACTGAAAGAGTAATTCAAATCGATCATCTGACTTTAAGCATTGTTTCTTGTAAGCAGTTTTCGGATATCACAACAAAGGTTGAAAATTCAATATTATTTGTTTGGAAGATTTGTATTATTAGTTTTTGATGTTTATGACTGGATTTCGTAATTCTTTGTTGGTAATATGTGGTCTTTTAACAAGTCGATTGTATTTTCCAGTTTGGAAATCAACATTCGCACTATGATCCACGTATAATCGGCCAACGAATCACTAGTGGAATGTAACGGAATTCACCGATTTCACTTAAGCCACTATTAAAAGTGCAGCCAACTTTACAATCCAGTAATTGATAAAGTGTTATGTGAATTAGACATTACTGTTAATGGAACTATGGATTTCCCGTAGTGTTTGTAAATCAATGCATGTACAGATAAAGCGACCAGAAAGATGTCCAAATAATTTCTTTATTTATTATTTATTTTAACACATAGATATTGGTACAAGGGGGCACCAAATACATATGCGCCACACAAATCTCATTCGATATGTGTGAGGACTGTGATACTGCCCAGGTGCTCAAACCGAAGCACGTTGATTGAAAATAAACGTAAACATGGACGTGTGAAGTGTTAAAGGATGGTAAGTTTACGTTACACAACCAGTAATCTGCCAACTGAGCAATGAAAAGAAGCTGATATCCACGCCCTGGTTGCAATTTAGTTGCTAAGTGCTATCCGCAACTGCCGCATAAATGAAAGAGACTTAATTGTTCACAAGTTATTTAATAAATCAGTCAACCAGCTCTTACCATTAATCAAACTGGATTGAGTTAGGGATAAGAAGAAACTTATCGCATAGAGATTTGACCGCGTGATACAGCCTAGATATGGAATATAAAAATAGCAGCTATTAGAGTTTTAGTTTGGTAGCTTAATTGTAACCAGTTTAGCCATCAGCTTGAAAGTTTCGGCATATGATTATTTTATGAGCAAAGTTCTCTTGTGTTTCCAACGATAAACTCATTTACCAAGAAATTTATTTGCTACATTGAACTAGTTGAAGTAATCTGACTATTAATAAGTTAATGTTTAGAGATAAACCGTGTCGGGTGTGAGGTAGTTACCCACTGAAGACGATGAGAGATGGTCACGCAATGTCATGAACTGATTGAGGTTATACATCAATGCCGTTAGATGCTAGCTCAATGGTCTAGAGGTCAAGTGTTCGGGAGCGAGATCAAAGGTCCTATGTTCGACTCCCAACTCCGCCTGTAGCTCTTCTAGATTTACTGCCGGTCCGAAGCCCGGGTAAAGGAGGAGGGTTGGGCATGGGATTAGCGACCCCATCCAGTAGGAAACTAACTCGCTAAAAAAAACGCCAACTAGAAATGTTCGATCCCCACGTTCAAGATCGTGGATTGGCGCTATTGAGGTGTCCTGTATCAGTATGAAATGGCCATCCAATGCTTTTAGGTTTTCAGTGATGGTCGAACTTAGATCGGTTCAAAATTTTAATGAATATTTAGAGTTATAACTAGAATCCAGGCATTGAACACATCTCCATTCCATCATTTATTTGGAGATAATGTATTTTTCTGATAAACATCTAAACTTTTACCCGACAAATATGGGCATAATGCCTAAACTTTTATCATCAGTCAATCATTGCGGAATAACAAACAAATAGATAAACTCTGTTATGGAGTGTATGAGGTGATATTATTAACTTTTTATATTGTCTTACAAAACAATTTTATATTGTTGTAGGCAAAGAACAGGTCACAACCCCCCCTATTTAACTCACGTATCCATAACGATTTCATTTTGATATGTTTTTGTATTAGGCATATCTATGTAAGTATAGATAACGCTGATATATTCGTCATAAATTACGTGTTGAGAAAATGTATCATGTATACAACATATGGTGGATTACCGATAAATGTCCTGGTTGTTGGCAAGTTCATACTAGGTTAATAATTCAGTTTTTTTCTGTTTCATCTACCATTTCTTTTAAAAACATTTTATTAGTTTAATTGGGACTTACCATTATAATTCATTATTTGTTTTGTATAAAAGCTTAAACGCAGAATGCATACTTCTCATTTTTGTCCAATCTGTTTATCATTGTATACACCAAACAGAATTTTATCTTTTTTTAATTATCCCAATTATCTGCAAATGAAAATTTTCTTCTATGAATATTTACGTTAACTGTTAAAATGTTAACTTTGGAATTGGTATACGTATATGTTTTACTTCTTTGTATCATCGTTCTGAAGTTCAATAATGAACATTCAGCTTTGATTATACCCGCTACTTCATGGATTACTGATAATGATGAGAATACTATAATCCAGAAAGTTCATTTAATTCAGAAACAACAAAACCTTGATATAGGCAAGTTTTGCGAGATCTTTACTCAGATCAGTATATATGTTTTTCGCAACTTTTTTTATATCAATTATATGTCCATGAGAAAATCATGATCCAAAGTCTAGGATCGTTACGAAAAATTTCAAGCATCTTTAAAGATGAGTCTAGCTTCCTTCAGGCCCCATATAATGACTGATTAACCCTGAGTTTAGTAGTTTGCGTTTTAATCTTAGTCGACTAGCGGAATAACTGACAACTTTTTTTAATATGGATAACTTTTGGTAAACACTATTTTAAAACCACATTTCTACTTTCTTACTATTAACACTTTTTACAATCATATAAAGGAATAGGAACTTTACTATGTTGGTCCGGTATGTGCTGACATCTCGTGACTCCCATAATTGAATAATAGCTAATCCGATTTCGAGTTTAAAGGATGGGAAAATAGATCTCTAGAAGTTCATACTTAATGAGTATCTAAACAGGATATACTTAACAGCTTATTGTAATCTTTTATAAATTAGATATCATAGCATTTTTGTCTATCAAAAAATATGATAATTCACGACGTTAGTTTACATAGAGATTTTAAATGTTAATTGACCATTTATAACTTAATATAGGATGTATATCAATTTTCTAGCCCTTGTTAGATGTATGTTGTTTACATCTGATTTTCTGGTTAGGTTAAACCCGACTCAGATCAACGTAATCTTTTGAAATTAAACAACTGAGAAATAGATTGTAGCTGTGTCGTTTAAATTGAGAAAAATCAATTTTTCAGTGCTACATGGTTTTTTTTATTGATTCTCTAGCTGGTTGAATTCAGCGACGAAAACTGAACAAGTTTACGCGAACCGCCTATCTAGTTTTTGTTTAATTAATTTCAACATACACTGGAAACTTTAAAGCCACCAAGGTTTTAATATTTATCAGCGAAAAATGAGAATTTATGTATGTTCATGAAGTGTATAACAAACAATATTCATAAAACAAGAATATTTTCTAAAAGGAAACTGAAATGTTTTCTTTTGCGTTATTCAATATTATCAAAAACGATATGTCATCTAGGTTGTTTTGTAGTCATCGAACTTTTTGTTTTCGTTCTCATAAACGCATAATGCTTTATTTCAAAAGAAAAATCAGTTTCTTTTTGAAGAATGAGAAAAGCAATACAAAAGTTAATAAACCTATCAATACTATCCGTTCCAGTAATGTTAGTTATTGTAATCATAATTAATAGTAGTAATAATGATTAAAGTTATTTAACCTATGCATACGCATGCAACAAACAGAGAGAAGTACCAAAAGAACGGATTGCTAAACAAAGAGAGAAAGTCGTAAAGTATTTGCTCTTTTGAGCTTACAGATATGGATGATAACCTCGAGTAATTAGTACCCAATTATATATTATATTCAACCATATACACAATTACATAGTTGCATATTAAAGTATGACTTACAAGGCATAAAATAATAGGTGGTGGACTAGCTAAACTATTGGGGAAGATAGTAAAAATGATTGCTGAAATATTCAGGCAATTATTTTTGTAAGTAAATAAGGTTTGTATTTTACTAGAATGTCAATATGGGCTTTTTATTTTCTAAATATAAAAAGGGCAAAAATTTCAGTGTCGTTCTATTCGAAACTTAATTCGCCACTGTATACATACATATACCACAAAACAAAAAAATACTGCTTACCACTTCTCCACGGTTCTGTACTTCATATTTCTAACATAGGATACAGCTGTAAATCGATCAAAAAATATCTATGCCAGTCTTAAACAGGTCTCTGTACTACTACTACTACATAATAATAATACTTTTTACCGTTACCTATTGTACAAGTGATCATCTTTCATTTCTAGGCAACTGCCAAACTCACTCAGATGATTACTGTGAATCTCATATACGGAACAGTATTTGTAATAGGATTAAAAATGAATGCTTTTGTCGGCTAGGCTTTGTGGCAATCAGAGAAAATAATGAAATCGTCTGTCGACCACGTAAGTTTATTTGATCAAGTGTCTTCATTTTGGTTTCTAAATGTTTATGTTTTTGAAATATTTATTTTCTGTTAAACTGAGTATTTGTTTCTATAGTAATAATCAAGCAACCTTTATTGATATGACCTATCTTTTCATCAAAGATTTTTATATTTGTGATTATACAAACAGTTCTACAATATTTTGATTCAAGATGTTGATAACATTTTCTGAAATATTCCACAAATCAGCTATCAGGGAACAGATCGATTGTCTGTTAATATTGGAACGTTTATTTAAATGATGTGTTCCAAAGAGAACTTACAATGAGTTATTCTACTTCATGAAAGCCAATTCAAAAGGGTAAATTCGAGATTATATTAGAAACAATTAAAAATGAAAGTGATTGTAGGATATTCGTCAAACACAGACGAAGAATACTTTACAGTTATAAGTTAATGACCCTAATGAACAGGTAAGTTTGTGGGAAATCCACAATCGCCAGAAGTGACTTGTGGAAATAACTTTATTTCAAATCCTTTTAATAACATTTCGTCAATGTCAAATTTTTCATGCTAAAAGTCATAATTGTTAGACATAACAATGATTTTCATAAACTTGGCCGCTTTTCGGATTATTGACTTTGATATATAATTGTAGAACATGAAGAGGATTTATTGAAAACAATATTGTTCATTGATATATCCTTCTTTATTGTGATAAGGACTTTTAAACGAATAAAAAAATGTCTTAAGTTTTAACAAAGAAACGTAATTTATGAAACGCTGTACGTTATTAAACCAGCAAGAGGATGACCTTAGTTTTCTTTAGATTATAGAAGTAAACATCAACTCTGGAATGTAGGTATATCCAGCTGACGAGTCCTAGAAACGACGAAGCCAAGTTAATCGTTTAAAGAAGTGGACATCCAGCCTAACCTTAAACACCAAAGTAAATGGAATTGATCACACAATATTATTTCCTAATAAATAGATCTTTAATAATTAGAGATAATTGATACTCTAGAATATTTTGTGACATTGAGTCATTCAAACAAAAATTTTACTCTGAAGTCTTCTGTGTTGAAGACTAGACAAGATGATGTTCTCAACTTTGAACATTTGGTTAGCTTAGTGTCCTAAAAGGAAGTATGCAATTCTTGTGTCCCTGTTAATCACATAATGAACTATTTCTGAGTATTTCAGAATTGTATCTTGACAGCTTGTGTATTAATTTTATTGAATGATTTATAAATACTGATTAAATTTTTGTAATAAAATTTGGATTCTGATGTACGAATTCACTTATAAAGTAGTCAAACATGTACGACAGTACCAGGCCAACTAATTGTTTTTTCTTCGTTTTTGTATGAAAATGTTGTCATTAATCAGTCTTGTTTGACAGATTTCGTTTTATTTTCTATTCATGTTAAGTTCTAACTGATCTTCCATGCCGAGTCGATTCAGACTGCGTACATGTGGATTTAAGTGTATGTCATCCTGGAGCTGGAAGATGTATATGTCCTGGAAATACAGTTTATGTTACACATTTACATGCTTGCAGTAAGTAATTTTAAAGTTTTATACTTTAAACCAACTTTTTAGCACCATAACAATATTTTATACAAAATTTGAAGGTATTCCACTACTCGTCAGTTTACTTTTCGATAAACAGTCTAATGGTAAAATTATAATGCAGATGACGAAAACCGACGTAGAATGCTAGTTTGTTTATTGTAATGGCTCTTATGTTTTTGAGTAGTAATCTGTATAGCTCACATCTAATATACAGCATGTACCATTCGTCAAATTACACATTACTTTTATCATACATAAATGTTGATTCCAAGATCAAAGATATGTCTGTCAATGGTAACCAACAATTATGGAAGATAATGTTCATGAAGTCAAAGTAACAATTTTATGTATTTTACTCAGTAATATTATTTGATTTAAAAATAAACTCACCCAGTAAGTTATTCAAAATATCAGGAAGATGTTGATGACTTGTGATATTCGTCATGAACATTTGTGTGCAAAATATGTAAAATCTAATTAGTAATAAATGATAAAGTAATCTCTAGTTAATGTTATTTTTGTCGAAATCTAAGTAAGCCAATCAACTAATCGATAATCATCAAGTATATAATTAATTAGTTGATTCATTTGTGTCTACACTTGTGCATCATACATATTTCTACGTAATCAAATCGAAACACAACAAAACCTTTAAAATAAAGTGCGAATACTAAAATAAATGAACATTAACTAGTAGTCATGATGGTCACACTGAACTTCAAAGCATTCATAGAGTGAAAAATCCATTTGAAAACATATTTTTGCATAATTTTTCTGATCTTTTCTGAACTAATTTTTGAATCTGACAACAATTGGTTAAGTATTTTATCTTAAGAAATAGTCTGCTTATCAAACAAATGTTTTATCCTCTATCAAATTAATACACTAAACAATTTTGTTCCTCTCTCAATAAATAAATAGCAAATAGATTGATATCATGAATGGATCAATGTTAGACCACCATTGAAAACCTGGTAGCACTGTTTCGTTTTAGTATGGGACTCCCCATGACATCAATTTAAAATCAGCGATCTCCACAATCCCATACTGATAATTATCATGTTCTAGGAAGAAGCCATGACCAATGGAGTTCATACATGTCTGTTGTGAGACAGTTATTCACTGAAGACAGAGGTGAAGGGTCGCGCAATGACGTGAATTGGTTGAAATTAGACACTAATACCATTGGATGCTGGCTAAGTGGTTTAGAGGTTAAGCGTTCACGCGCGAGACTGAAGGTCCTAGATCGGTGGATGCGCACCGCTGAAGAGTCCCATGCTAGGACGAAACGGAAGTTCATTGCTTCCAGGTTCTCATTAGTGGTCTAACATTGATTCAATGATGATATCAATCAAAACTCAACAATCTCCACAACCGCATACTGGTAAATAGCAAATAATTTAATTATTTCCAATGAATGAAACTTGAGTTTCTTTAGTGGTGTTGCTGCACAAATCATCATGGGAATAACCAGTAAATGCCTAATTTTTTTAAATCATAAATTTTACAATTATTTTTTACAATTCTGGAGATATTTATTCTAGTTCTTCGTCATTTAATTCAAAAAAGTGATTTTATCAAATGAAATCAACCGCTATAGACCATCAATCTAAATGTAAATCAGTGGCCATCGGTCGGTGTTTTCAGAATTTTAATGACAAGCTGCGGTCAAGACGATAGTGCGTTGGTCATCTACTGATAAGATTAAAGGAGCTCGTCTTATATTACGACATGATTGAAGTTGAGAAAGTGAGCCATATGATTCAGATTGCATAGGCTGTATGTATCTTGCTTGTATTAAGATTCAAAGTTCCTGTGTTTCAACATATGTGTATACTTTAATCGGGGAATAATCCCATAGAATAATTAGCTAATTAGATAATCAAAACTGGATGCTGACTTTGTGAGATGTGAGTAACTGAATCTAATTTAGCTTAGGGTATCCAATCAATCATCCACCTCTTTCTTGGTAGTCCATCATGCAAATGGCTTGCTTGATTGTACACACTCTCTTCTACCAAGGTAAGGAATTTCACCACTGCCTGCTGTACTAGTCAAAATCCATTAAACCTCGTAAAATTGTAGAGTTATAATTTTTTATTTCAAAGTATTCAACTTTCTACAAGTAATATCTAACTAAATAAAAATAACCCATTGCTCCTGCTTTTTGATCAGATGTCGAGAGAACAATCTTAACAGGAAATTTCAATGAACTACTCAGTTAAGTATTTCCGGCGGGAATAGTCACGCTAAGAATTTCGTCCGACTTCAGAATATATCAGTAACATAAACATGCCAAAGTGGTTTCTCAGTTAGATATTAGTTTATTTTTTTCAGTTGTTGCTTCAATTATCTAAAGGAGTTTTATGTTCAATATTTGTCGCCTTATTTTTTTCTATTAGGAACCAAGTTGTTTCATCAAAATTATGATGCTTGCAGAATGTGTGATACAAATCATGTGTGTCATGAAATAATGTCGAAAGATCTAGACCGTGTAAAGGATTTGAACGTTATAATAATAAAACTGGATGGTACTTTAAATAGGTAAGTGAATTGTGTATATGGACAAGAGAATCAGTTTTAAAGCTACAAATTATGTATACAATACTTTCTATTCATGTGGTAATTTCATTTTAGATACTGACAGATAAATTTAAGTGCATCACACAGCTACACTATATCGACCTTTAATCATGTGTTCTCAAATACTGGTACCCAGTATTTGTTGTGCCCGAGACATGTAATTTTAAAAGTTAGAAAAGTTAAGTGACAGTAAATAACACTTAAGAGTTTAAATTTAATTCCATACTTTTTAATGGACTGTTTTAAAGCGTTATGATTTCCGCTTACATATATTGTGTTCGCCTTTCATTTAAAGAGAAAGTTACTCAAATTAGTTACAAGAAAGTGATAGTAAAGTAGATTTATAATATTTTTCCTCAATATGGAGAAAACATAGTCTTTGAAATAACAATACTTTCTATAATTCATTTTCAGTTCAAACGAACCTGCTTTTATTGGGTGTACTTGTGAATTTAACCCCATTTCTACTCCAACGATAATACCAACTGGTTCTCAAATCCCAGGGAAAAATCATTTATGTCCTGTGAATTTGCGTAAGAGCTTTTTTTGTAATTAAAAATATTATTTATATCTAGTGAGTAGTTTGTTGTATATGCCTAAATTCCACTGGACATTCGTCTTAAATACACGATAGGATTAAATAAATCTTTGTAAGTGATTTCTGGCTGAAGCGAACGGACTTTAATTTTTCAAAAATATTGTGACAAGTGTCTGGATTGGATACTACTTTTTCAGTCTATACATTCGTAAAATCAAATACTATTAGTTCGTACACTACTTCGATTTTGCGTATATTCGAAGTAGATCAGCAATATAGTTTATGACACTCATTTTTCTTTATAGGGACTAAATGAAGATCTATACTGATGTTTTGATGTTAGCAGTAAAGCTCATATTCACCATTTTCCGTCACCTGAGGTCAGATTCCCAAATTGCGTTGACATTCATCGAAAAACTCCATTTATTATTTTTTGAAATGACTATAATAAGTTCCCACTATCAACATACTGACTGCCTGCATAGTTATTTGGATGAGGCGTTCAGATATATCTTGAATTTTAGTCGTCACTTAATTGATAAATTGCTCTGCTACGAAGTGTGAATGCAATTTATTAACTTTGGTTAGGATCGTAAGTTTCCTGACAAGTTGTAAACATAAACCAACTGAAGTAAACCTAATAACAGTTATCTGGATTATTCGAACGACAAGAAACGTAAATATCAGGAGTTTCACCAGTGACACTACTATCGGTGATGAAAATATATTAGTCGGATCCTATCACTCATCATGGAGCCTCACACAGATGTACTCTGGCTCAACTTCTCATACCTGGATAGCACGATGAGGTGATATTAGCAAAACAAATAGCAAAGAGACATCGAATTCACGTGGTTACAATGCCAGTGAGAAGGTTCAAGAAAACAACGTGAAACGGTATATAGGAAGAAATGCTGGAAATCAAGATAGAGAAGATAAAGAGCCAGTGCATCCGAGCTGCTGTGAACGATTCTAAGCCACATCACTTAAAGTCTCCAACCACTGATTTCAGTTATCTTGCAAACCCCAACCAAGTAGTCTGCTCGTGCTATGTTGACCCAAACCAGTAGTCAGTAACTTCATGGACTAGTCTCAAGTTTCGGTTTGTGATGAGATCGACTCAGTAATTAGAAATAAAAAATGTGTAAAGAATGGATTTCTCTTCCAACCCATTAACGTTCTTAGAACCAAAGCAAAACATAACTCAGTATAGGACCTTAGATTGTAAAAGAATATCATTCGTCCAAAACACAGTTTCACGTGTGCATTTTAAACACAGTGGGAAACAGGTGATCTAGTTAACTATGATTGCAACACAGAACTAGTAACCTAATCAACAGTCTTAATTCGGTAAAGTAGCAGTCTAAAAAGTGACAGAAATGGACAGAGTGAAATGCGGATTTTTATCTGATCAATTTTCTCTTGTGGAATAAGCTAGCAATCAATATCGCGTACTGGACATCTTTATTTTTCGGTTGCTTCAGCGTCTTGGTAAAACTAAATTTGGTACTTTCGCTAATTCATTTTTATTCAGAAACCACTTATATTTGTTATTAAACTTACTAAGGCTATTCATATATGCTATTTTCATGTTTACTCGTCGAGTCTATCATCTATGACTTTTTTTATCAATCAAAAGAACTCATTTCAAAGTTAAGATTTCAATGGAAACAGTTTACTCAGCGATCTCTTTAACCATGTATTAATAGTTTACACGAAGTTTAACAGGCTACTAAATCCGAAGTAATATAATTTACTAAGCGGTAATCGACCACCATAAAGTGTTATTGGTTTACTTTTCATTACAAAAACGTTACATAGTTGAAGCATTCTAATTTTTGATTTACTATGGTTTACTATGAATCAACATAAGATTATATGGAATACAAGATTTCTAGGATGGTCGTTGTTTGATGAGTATGGACGTATGAATAATTCTTTAATTCCAAGAAATCATGTTAGAAATCAACAAAGACTCTAGTGTGTATTTTTATAAATTTTCGGTTAGAGAATAGCAACTCAGAATAGTTTAATAGCTAACAATATGAACTAAGCTTACCTGTTAATGGAAATTTTCAAATCCATTATTTACTGATCTAAAGTATGAATCCTATTCTGTTAACCAAGTCTCCATTGTAGCTACTAATGTAAGTGATTCGAAATATTGGTTCACTGAATTTTGTATTTACTATTTTGTATAATGAAAGTCAGTATGTTCAGAATTTAAGTTGACAGGTTCCTGTAGATATATTCCTATGATTCACTGCCAGATTTCCTTCAAAATTAGTAGGTTGAATCAGATCATATTTAAATTAAGTGAAATCGATAGATCTTCCATCACCTTCAAATGTTCTTGATCAACCTAGCTCATCATATGGACTTTTGAAAGAGATTGACGGAAAATGTATATTGATAATGTTGGATTACATTCACCTCTGATGAGTTAGTTGCTAAAAAAGGAATCAAGGAGTGGCCTTCCATAATTCACCTCTAAGGGTATACATTATCACTTATTGATGAATTAAGTTCCTTCCTATTAGCCTCCAACTTTTATCCATCATATTTGTTCACTTTTAGAACTAAAATCTAAACCCACAATTCCTTTCTAAACTGCTTTCTTTTTAATAGCTGATATTGGCGAAGTTTGTGATCATTCATATTTAGTGTGCAGATCGCGTTCCGCTCAATGTGTTTCAGGTGATTTACCCAACATAAAGGTTTGCACTTGTCCTGAAAACACAGTTGCAGTTTACCAAACATTTTTAAACTATTTTGAATGCTGTAAGTTTATGTACCTTGAGTATTATTTCAACTGAACATTAATATCACTAAGATAAGCATTGCATATTTTCACTCTTAAATATTGTTTCTATCTGATTTTTCAAAATATTTATTCTACTTTGCTAGTGATGAATACTATCAAGGCTTAAATAAAATTAGTGTAAAAAACATATAGTCATAATCCTTTTCATTAGATAGGTCGATCGTCTAGACAATATAGAAGTCATAGTTAATTTGTATTCAGCATTAAATAAAAGAAATCGGTGTAATAATTATAACTAAGCTTGCGCGCTTGAGGATTTTTACTAGTCATTAACAATGAACTATCTCTACAACTGGTGTTCGAGTTTTTGAATAATCTCGAGTAAATTCATAATACTACTTGAAGATTTGGCCTGCATTAAATACTCTGCTAACGGGATACTATTTATTGGAGTCAGATATAGAGGAATTAACCTCTACAAAATACCGTTGATTATAAAGAAAAGGAATTCCATTTGAAAATGGGGTCGACGAAAACTACCACATTTTACGTAATTGTCTTATAAGAAGAATTGTCCTGTTGAATGTAGTGCGTTCATTTAAGCTTATGTAGAGAGGAAATGACCGATTAGTTCTGTTGTACTCCAAAGGACAGTTTGACTAACAACAACGTTTTATAAAAAAATGTGTTGAATTTATGGCAGCTTTCGTTATAAATTGGGCATATATTTCTTTCGATTATTTCACGTTGTGTATTTACGAGATAGTAGACATATTTGTAATGATCTCAGGGTATAAGATAAACGCTTCAACGTTCCTATCCGTGATGCAATTTGGGCTATGAGTCGTAAGTGGGAATAAGATAGAAACAATTCTATAAATAAATCCATTATGTCCATCTGCTAAACTTATTCTAATGTTGCTTTTATGGGTCATTTTCCGTAAATTATATAAGATCTGTTGCAACTGATTTAGCGTGTGTATTTATATGTTGGCCTTACCTTTTGCTAAACAACTGGGAGCATAGGATATACCTGGGGCCACTACAGTCAATGCATATTGCAAAGGATACATTTAGACAGCTGAATATAAAGATAAAATGACACGTATGGCATTTGAAATAATTTCTCAAGTTATGAGGCTAACCGAAGAAGTTTGAAAATAAATCTGTGATAGAACTACCTTCAATAAAATGGAATGAACAATATCGGATATGAAGATGTAATCGGACGACATGGAGTGACTGGGAGAAATGAACGAGAATAGTGAGAGATTTGCAAATCTATGTGCATTCAACAAAATGGTAATAGGTTGCACAATATTCTCACACAAACGCATACGTAAAGCTTCGTGTGTCCCACTGAACCACATTACACTACAGAGAATTGGATCGATCACATACGGACCAATGAAAAATTCAGAAGGTCGATGAAAGACGTGAGAACCGCAAGAAGAGCTGACGTAGCCTCAGATCACTACCGACTGGTGATTGCCAAGATGAAACTGAAGCTAAGGAAGCACTGGACGACCGGAGAGACAGCATTTAAAAGATTTATTACAGCATTCTCTCGAGATGCTGACAAACTCAACGAATTCAAGAAAGCTCTAAACAACAACAGTTTCCAAGCCTTACAACATCTACTCCAAGAAGATGAAATTACTATGGAGAACAACTTGAGATGGATTAATGTAACACTAACTTCAAAGTGTCAGAAACATCATTATGGGGAATAGATCTCCATAGGAACCCTGAACAAGGTTCAAAGAAGAACAAGAAGACAACAGTTAACAACAGCAGAGGAGGAACAGAGAAAGTCAAGGCACAAACTCAATACACAGAAGCAAACAAGTAAGTGATGGAGAGCGTTAGAGCTGACAAGCAGAAATACGTGGAAGACCTAGCATGAACAGCAAAAAAAGCTTCAAGAAAAGGAAATATGAAACAACTAGTAGGGAAATATAGTAAACCAGAGAGACCAGTGATGGACAAAGAATTCAATCCAATCACTGAGATTGCAGAACACCGTAATATGTGGGTAGAACACAATGAAAGGCCCTTCAATGGACCAGTCCCACTGAACCCACAAGCATGTTCGGCATGCGATTCTCTCCCTCGAAATGCAAAATGTTGCCTCAGGATTGGGTTACATCGACACCCAAACTAACGATAAGGAGTGAAATAGTTGAGCGTGTCGATCGCTTCACTTATCTCGGAAGTCTCATCAGCCCTTGTGGTCTGATGTGTGACGAAATCTCAGCACGGATACAGAAGGCTTGACTAGATTTTGCCAACTTGCGTCACTAATGGCGTAGGCGAGATCTCCGTCCATCAACCAAAGAACGTGTTTACTGTACAGCAGTTTGTTCCGTCCTACTTTATGGCAGTGAAACATGGCCGGTAAGAGTGGAGGATATTCGTAGATTACTGATATTTGATCATAGGTGTCTTCGAAACATTGCTCGTATATCCTAGGATCACCGAGTAAGTAATGCAGTTGTCAGGAAACGGGTACTAGGTAAGGATGGCAAATGAATTGATGAAGTAGTGAGACTTCATCAGTTGAGATGGCTGGGACACATGTTACGTACGCCAAACCACCGACTTCCTCGACGTGCGATGTTTTCTGGTGTAGGGGTAGGTTGGGAGAAAGCTAGGGGCGGCCAGACCAGAACGTGGCACAAATCCATGAAGTCACTGGCAAGTGGACTGAGCCATTTTGGTATGTGTAGACTACCTGGTTGGGGACCGCGAGATGACAGCAAACGATGGTTAGAGACCCTGAATAACATGGCTCGAAATCGTTTGCATTGGCGCAGGTGCATACACTCTTTGTGCTCTATTCTGAATTCTTCCTTTTCAATTTTTTCTCTTCCCAAATTTGTTTCACTGTATTATACTCTTTAAATAACATCTTCGAACCCTAATCTTTCCGATTACTGCCTATACTTTTACCACCTCTACCACTGTGGGGTTTGAATCGACAATTGTATCTCTGTGCTAATGTGGTATGGCAACTCCAAGTGATGTACGTACGTACGAAGTTCTACGTTGTTACTGACCGACTGACTAACTGACTGACTGAACCCACAAAACATCATGGCAACACACACAAACATTCCTGTAGATGTCACTCCACCAACGATCGAAGAAATCAGGATGACCATCAAACAAATCAGGAGAGGGAAAACATCAGAACCGAGAAATATACCAGCTGAAGCAATGAAGTCGGACATAGAAGTAACTGCAAGTATGCTCCGCGTTCTATTCAGGAAGATTTGGGACGAGAAACAAGTATTGACAGACTAGATAGAAGTATGCCTCATCAAGATGCCAAAGAAAGGAGATATGAGCAAATGCGAGAACTACGGAGGCATCACACTACTGTCATTACCAGGAAAGGTTTTCAACAGAGAGTCGACAGACGCATTGCAAGTGAAAACCGGAGTGAAACAAGACAGCTTACTCTCCCCCTTTCTCTTTCTTCCGGTGGTCGACTGGATTATGAAGACCTCCACACCTCAGGAGAAGCACGTGATAAAATCTACAAGTTGGATACATCTAGATGATTCGGACTTTGCAAATGACTTAGCTGTTCTATTATATACACATCAATAAATGTACGTGATGACAACTAGTGTAGCAGCAGTCTCTGAATCAATAGACTTCAACATATACAAGGGAAAAAGCAAGACCCTCGAATACAGCACGGAGAATACCAACCTAATCACACTTGACGGATCTCTGGAATAGATGTGAACTTTCACGTGTCTGCTTCACGAATTTTAGCAGTAGAATTGATAAAAATCCATTTATTCGTATTCTCAACTCTATACCAGTCTAAAGATGAAGATATTATATTCTGGGTTTAACCGTTTGCCGTTCAGCAACTCTTCAGAATTAAATAGTTCATGTTTACAGAAAATTGTAGTGATGTAGTTCAGCGTTTTCGTAAGCTATTGACTCCCAGTAATAACCTGAATGATTCCACAAGCCACAATGATATATGACCTTATTTAAATTCGTGACAAAATAGCCTGAATATAAGCAAAAAATCAACATTCGGCTAAATGATTTACTGAGAATTTATGAATTGTAAGTTAATATCCATTATGAATTTTCAGGGTTTCCTATAACACTTATATTTGATATTGACAAAGATGATTAAAATTGTCAAAACCGTAACTATACTATCTCCAACTGCCTGCGTTTTAATGATCGTCCAATCTGTAACGCTTTCGAATTTATCTATTCTCGATACACAAATTAGATGAGCATTACTTCACAACGCAATTAATATTTTTATCCTACATGCTGCCCCATCATATAAACTTTAAGAGACGGTTCGAGTAAACGAATAAAGTAATTAATGAGTAGATGCTAATTGTAAAATTGCTGGTATCAATGTGAAACACGATTTCATATTGTGAGAATTAGTTTACTTATCATTACAAAATACTTACAATATACGTTCGAATAATAGTTCCAAATCCCAATCTAGTGTTTTGAACTATAAACAAACACAAGTTGGCAGTACAAATTTTAGAAATGAATTCCATCGCCTTATTCACTGACATTAAACTGGTCAATAATTATGACATATATACGAAAACCATAAAATAAACATCGGTGAAAGTTTATTAAAATGTAACATTCCTTTCTGTGAAACCAAAACACTACTAAATAAATACTTACAGAACAGTAAATAGTCATTTCACAAACAAACAAAAAAACTTTTAACAAATCTCGAGAAAGTTTATTCTTGTAATTAGAGATGATAAACAACCAGATCTGTTTAAAAATATGAAAATGTTTTATATAAAAACTGAGATTTAAGTTTTCGGTTGAATATTTTGTGTTTATTTACGTCTTGATCATTAGTTATACATTAGAACTATGCGATTTGTTTACACATTCCAGTTAACCTGACTAATAAAATAAATATATGTAGATTAACAAATAATATAACTGGTAATACAAAAGCTTAACTTTTACACTTCCGAATCAAAAAAACAGAAAGCAAATACCTAATTCACATAGTTTCTTACTTTAGTAATATTGATTGTATTTAGGGTATAATTATCAAAGTTATATTAATTAAACGTCTATGTACTCAGCAAACTTTACACAGATTGCGGCGGATAATCTATTTTGAAAACAGGTACTAGTTTCTATTAAATAAAATTACGTTTCAACTGAAGTATAATTGTAGATTTTGATGAAATCAATATACAAGTTAGCGGATATTTAGGATTTTGGGGTTTCAATCACATTTAGAACTGATTACATAGGGCAGAAATATATAAATAGAAAAAGTATTTGGGAAAAGTAAATTAAGTGATGATTTAGGATCTATTTCATACGGTATTGACTTTGAAAGTTTTAGACCTTATGAAGAGTATTTGAAAGTTTTCGTGTTTATTTTGGGGTGAATATATCCTAACGGAATATAAAAAGTTGCATAAATTACTTTCGAATTTTCATCCATTTTAACTAAACGTATAGCTCAGTTTTACTTGGTGAACGAATTGGTCAGCATAAATCCCTACCATAGCAGTACTATGTTGACCTGTTTACTTTATATATAATTGAAAGCATCGATTTCTGCTAATATTATTGATGATATTAGAAGATAGCTTCAAAAACCAACAGAACCTTTGAAACTGAAAAATCCCACTTATTAGATTTCATTGAGTTAATTAACAATTGGCATATCCACATATGACAATTTTTAGTTATTAGTTTAAACCATAACCAGTGCGAAGTCTGTGCATAACAGTAAGTTATCACTTTAGACTTCTTTGAGCTTAAGCGTTTATTTTACAACTGTTTGTCCTTCATTGAAAATAACGTTTAGTTTTTATCTAAATAATAATAACATTCTGAATTCAAAAATTGTTTTCAGTTCCTGTCGTACATAAATCAATTTCTCACCTAACAAATACAAAAAGTGTTGTAAGTGATGATTGTGAACCTTGTCAGAAAATTAATGGAACATGTTATGATCAGAATAACGATGGTATACCAGATGGATGCCGATGTCCACCTGGTAGGTCTTTTATTCATAAAGGTGATCGACATGAAAACTCACGAAACATAGCTGATTCAATGAATCTTATTCAGTACAAGGATAAGTTAAAGTTTCCTTGTGAATTGAAACATAGTAAGTGTTCGTTTAACTAATGAATAATTTACATATTTTGTTTTTTCAAAGTGTTTTTGTTAATAACAACTTTCCTTATTTTTACTATTTCGATTCAAAGTTAATTTGACGTGCACTCAACACTTCATAAAATTTAACCAGTGAAATTCTTTCAGGGAGTGTGATTTGGGGAAAGTAGCTTTCTAGACTATGGCCAAACACAGAAACTATCGGGTGTTTTTCTCCAAAAAATATTTAGCAGTATTTAATATCGAAATTTCTGAGGTAAAAAACACAGTTGTCTTTTTCAGTAGTATGGTTGTCAGTATTCTTGTCTTATCTATTTTATATGTTTCCCACTTTCACAAAATAATAAAATTTGATAACCACGACTAATTAAAAACAGACTATTGGCATCGCTGAAAAAATTGTTGGTTTAGATATTATGTGTATAGCCAATAAAACTAAAGCAGTTAGATTGAACACGCTTAGGATACTGAGAAAAATATCTTTAACCAACTATTATTTATCATTCGCCACTTAGTTCGTTCAAGATGTATTTCACTGTACCGTATGTCATAGTACTTTGTAATCTATATCTTATTCATGGAATTAATAAAAAAGATGGAAAACTACTTAAGTTCGAGTATGCATTAAAAGGTATGTCAAACTGTTATCGTTTCATAACATCCACTTAACTAAGTCACATAGCCATTCATTGTGATTTCAATTTACTAGCGTTTTATAATACATTTATTAGACTAATTTTACATGTCCAGTCTTAGTTATGTGAAATAAGTTATTTTTTAGTGATAGGCTAGCGGAAACTGTAGCGTTTTTCTGTTATATAAACACTTGCTCAACATAAATGTACAGAGTATAATCTTTAGTCAATCCTTCTGGTATATTCAAATTCGTTTTAAATAACTTAATAGTTACCAAGAGGTTTTCCGCACTAGAACTCCAAAATATTCCTAATATTTATTGGTGACTGGTTAAATTTAGAGGTACAGTAATTAGTGAATGGCTGATTTTAACACATATTTTATTAAACCTCATTGAATTGTATACACGAGTGGAATGCAAGCATTAAGAAATCATCAAGGGAATACGAAGTGCATAATGTACCAGTGTTGAAATTTCGGTCCTACATTTGGTAACCACTCATTTGTCCGTCCGTCTCTAGTAATTTACATAACGATCTTACGTTTTGAACACAAAGGTATGACGACCAGTTATATCGTTTTTAATGAGTGTTACTAATGATTGCATTCGAGGTAATCTACTTTGGAGTAGTCAGATGGGACTCTGGCTCGATCTTCTTACTGAAACCCAAAATTTGTATCACTTTGATACCCAGATGGTTATCTACTAGAGTATTAACTTATAGCAATATTAGACAGAGTAGTAAATATCATGTAACATTAAAGCTTTGTACTTTTTATTTGCAAGATTGAATTGAATAACCCACTACTCATTGTACGAAATTCCGACTACTTCTTTCAACAAAATTAGTGCACAAGAGTATTTTCAATCGAATTGGACGCAACGTGTTGAACAAGGTAGTTAAAAGCTACCTAAAAAACAAAGGAAATAATTGCTGGGACAAATTTCAATGTACCAAAGCTCACATTTTACTTATATCCCATCACAAAATAACTTAAATATTTTCATACAACTATGGCGTCCACTCACATGACATTTTAGTCGTCAAACATAACTGTTTTCTCTTAAAGACAACAGGTTATGGCTTGTTCCATATGTTTTTAAGCTGTAAAACCAAGATACAACAAAACTCACCTGAAAACGTGTTGTAAACTTATGTAAGCATATGGGACGCATTTGTAAACGAAACTCATGACGTATCATCGTAATCTCTAACAACTAGTCTGATAGCTGAACATTGATAATTAACCTTTCAACTTATTCTGTGAATTCTCTCTTTTAGTATATCTGAGAAAAGCAACTACACTAAATAGTAATGTTCTGTAATTGTCTGCTCAAACTATCAGATACTGTCTGCAATTTTTTTGTCTCAGACTTTCAGTAATAGGGTAATCACCCTAACTTAAACTTCTTTGACAAAAGTTGAAATATTTCTTTCTAGCTGAAACGAAATGTGATGAGCAAAAACTCACAGTCTGTTATTTGCCTCATTCTTCTGGAAGATTTCAAACACTACCTTACTACCTTCAACTAAATATGGTTGACGTTTCACTTGTGCAGTCAATGTATAGAGAATCATTTGATCGTGGGCAGTCTTGTTCATTAAGCTCACAATTAAACCGAATATCAAATACCTTGGATGCTAAAAAAATATATCCATCAAAAGACAAATGGTACTGCATTACATTGTTCAATGATCAATTATTAATGAACACTTGCAGAGTTAAATTAAATGTTGACTCAACTTGTAATGAACTTGTAAGTTATTTTAGAAATAACATGTCGTTATCACCATTCCTATTATTGTTACTTGGACGTATTCTGTAGTGTCACTCTTTCAAGTCTTCGTGTTCTGTATGAAAGTCAGAATACCTCAGATGAGCTCTACAAGTTATAATATTATCTTGATTAGAATTTAAAAAACAACCATACTGTCAATATTAAATTCCAAAGTGTCCAGCAAGAATATCTGTTAAACATCTGGAATCGGACTAAATTGAAAACGTTTTGACCTTACTATGATCAAATATATCTGTGGTATTATAGCAATATTCAACTTCATAATTAAGCTAACTTTAGTTCAGTACTTTTAGTATGACTGATAATTAACTGTACACACTAAGTCCTCAAAAAGCTTACAACCATGTTTAAAAGAAATCAGGACGTTGACTTTAAAACTTTAATTTTGTTTTTAAACCATTCGTCATGGTTCTACGTAAATTACTGACATAAGGTTAACTTATATAATCGTTATGTAATGTTTGTATTGACTGTGCATGTTGACGGAAACAACACGTGTGTATATTCAGAGGGAATTTTACATATAACAAGTATTTGACAAGAAAATGATGTTTAGCTTGTGAAACACACAAGTGATCAAATCAGTGATTAGCTGAAAAAGTAAATGTCAAAAAGATAAAAGTATAGGATGATTAAAAATGTTTATCAGTGGGTCCTTGTCAAGTATACCTGCTTTACAATCATTGCATTCATCGTCTAATGACGAGCAGTCATAATACTAACATTATTAAAGCTCTACTTAATTCAGTCCAATACTTTCTTCTAAACTAGTGACAATTTATAGTATTAGTTTTAAAAATCTTCGTAGCTCAAATGTAATTTTCTTTTCTCTTGAAGTTCGAACAAACTTCACAAACATTATTTGACAGTAACCAAAATACATTGGTGTGAGTCGGTATGTTTTATTGTCAATCGATTCATAGTACGAAATATTGTACCTCCGAATTCGATTACAATAACCTGTCACGTCTTCAGAAGTTTCGTTTTTCATATCACGTTCCTCACACAAACCAGTGTTTTAAGCGGATATCGATAATCTAAGCAATAACGTTATCCTAACAATTTATAGAACTGCTAAAACTTTCTAGAAATAAACAAAAACCAATCATTTCAATTTTGAGAGTCAAATATTTAGTTCAGATCAATAAGGCTAAAGTGGACAAAACGAGCCGTTATTGATTTGAGGAAACTAAAATATTCTAAAAAATACCGTTATTTACCTAATTTGTTGTTTATTTCTATTTCCAAAGTTCTGCTATGTTATTGAATACTGTATGCTGACCTTACTAGTCCTTTGGATTTGTAAACAATTCTATTAGAAATAAACAACACACTACAAAATTATTCAGTAAAACAAATGCGGTAAAAGTATCTGATAGCTGAGTAAACAAAAAGCCCATATATATGACTACACATCGGAAAAATCTTATACTCCCAGTTATATTTTTTTTAAAGTTAAACTTTGAATTAATCTGTTTGTATTGGTGTGTGGAAAGTCAATATATTATCACGCTTAACTTGATCTTGTTGCTTATGAAACGCAGTCAAGACAATAATCCCAATTAATAATGCGTTCTTTGCTTTATTACTGTTTTCTCGATAAAGATAAAGTGAATATCACTGTTTTTTCTTTAATCGATAAACTATAGGATACTACTTCAGGCCTATCATGATGCTCACGATTTCTCAGGATACGTAGTGTAACATTTATGTCTGCAGTTAATATATGGGGAAGTTATCCAAATGAGAATCATTTGAATGATCTCGACATGTAACATAGTAGTGTGAATAATAAGTTTATGTTTCTGAGCAGAACTCTTCTCTGGTATACAATAGTTTACTCAAAAAGGGATTTGTTTTTATCCATTCCTTACCTTAATTGATTGATTAGTGGCAAATAAACTGACTTATCAAGAATGATTGTTTTGTCACATCTTGTTATTGAAAAGATCAAAATTACTTACTTGGTTATCACTGAAGCTGATTTCAACTATGTACAATAAGATGAAACAAAAATTCCATCTCTAAAATTCATTGTGTATTTTGGGAGCTTTAATAAATACTTTGTTTACCTCTGAAAAGTTAACATGACAACCAAACAAGTCATATTTAGTGGGGGCGTTTATTTGTTATATTTTATTTTAGAATTGTTCGGTTCAGAGGGTTTTAACAATTTCATATCAATATTATCTTAATTTACCACTCATTATTTATTCGTAGGATCAATTTATACTGGCAAGGACACATTAAAACACTGCTTAAATGAAATAATTGATTAACCCTCATTTTTGACACCGATTGATGGTCCCTAACTTATCACTGTATCCAAACCATGGAGAGAGGTATTTCTCCTACACATAAGTTTAGCACCGTCATAAGTTAACAATCTGAATCAAAATTATATCTAGGCGACAAATACCTGTAGTGGCTTGGCTTCGAGATAATTTCTTAAGATTCATATATCGATAACATTGATAACCGTTATTAAATAGACTTCAACGATGTTTGCATTCAGAAGGCAACACGAAGCACTGACTACAGTTTATTACTAGATGGCACAGATAATAAAGCTACAAGCACATTAGGCGAATTCGAACAGATAAGGCTAATGCGTCCGAGTAAGCGAATATAGAGGCGAATTTATTGTGAGTCTATTAGTAAGAATCAAGCTCATCTATATGGAAAGCGAATTAATCATCAAACGATATTTAAGCAACTAACATCTAAGCTATGTGTGTAAGCTGTCATATATTATCAACCATACATGTTCATACAGATATGACAATAATAATAAAAATACAAAGATACAGACAAACTATTCGCATAACACTGTCCGTTAAATAAGTTAATCGAATGGCTTGACGATATTAACTGTAAACAAACTTGATTGTAGGTGAAGTGCTATAATCCGGATAATCGTGGTCGATTGATATTGAACCAAAGTTTGGTCATGCTTGACAATACATTTCACACATATTTTAATATTGAAACGGTTATCTTTAGTAATCAACTGATAGAAATTCCTAAAACAAAGTGGATCTAAAATGTTCTGATCTATAGGATAACTATTGATAGATTTTCTATACCCTGATTAAATGAGTCATTTGTTATTTAAGTACAATATTTACAAATATACACTATCTTTTTAAATAAATTGTTTTTTGCTTTGATTTTCTTAGACGAACACACAAAATCTTCAATATTCCGGAAGTGTATACATTCGCCAAAAGAATCAAATCTACCCGGATGACAAAGCAATACTTGAAATACCATGGAAGTGTACGGCTAAAAGAATATGCAATTTGAAACCGTGAGTGGTTTCAATATTTCAGCGTAATATATACACATATATATATAATTTTTCAATGGACTCAATATTTCGAAAGTTATAAGGATATCACTAAACTGTTATCGCTACTACATTTAAAAGATTTAAGGAAAATTTAAAAATAATCATTTCTTTTCAAAGTAGCTATGAGGATATAAATGATTTATTCTACCAAAGAACGTTTCGTAAATTATTATGGAAAAATATCAGTACTAATTCGTTTTCATAAGTTGAGCTTGTTGAGGTAGACAGTATTAATATTTTGTCTAATAGAGAACGTTCACTGTTTTCTTGGATGGTTGTATGAAATTTGTATTTAAGAAGCCCACTTTCGACGCTTTATTTCTCTGCGCTCACCAGCATGATACGTATGGAACTTAATAATGTTGAATTCAATCATTTTTGTATTATATGCTATTCAACAAAATAGTTTGTTGAAAGTTAATTTTGAAGGATATTTAGGATGCATTTTAAAACCACTATTAATTCGTCTAATGATTTGTTTGTCCAGGCTCATAGTAACAACTAAGGAAGAAAATTTACTTTTCTGTATAATTTGAACGTTACACATTCGATTTATTGGCCATTAGTGTTTCAGATGATCTGTTTGTTTAAAATTAGTCAACAATCAAAGAGCGTACTGATGTTTCAATCACGTTAATCAAAAGACAAACAACAAATGATTAATAGTGTGATACACGACGTTCTAGAAAACTGGTTCCCAGTAAATAACAAATCGATTTCATAAATTATGAAACTCTTAAGTAAACCGATAATTTTATTGATTTAGTTTCATTTCAGCATTCTGAAAAAATAATTCTATTCAGATTTCACAGTAACTTTATTGACTCGGTGTGCAGTGATTAGTTCACATCTAATGTTTGAAATTTATTGGGTTCTTTATTCAATATATGGCATAAAATGAAGTTTGGGTAACTTTAAAGCGTCCGAAAAATATAATGATAAATAAGTGAGCTCGGAAAACGTAAACAAATAAAATGAAGGATTTTTGAAGACAGTTGGATACAATTACTCCACGAATCGGCTTCTGAATGTTGTTTTTAGTCACGTGTCAGTTCTCGATATTGATCAAACTGTATCTATTTTGGAAAGCAATAGACATAACTTTTACGCGACTGCAGCAGAGATTTCTGGAAAGTCAAGCAAAAGTCACAGATCTGAACTTTTTGTATTTCGAAGTACTTCAGTAAGGTGTTATTATGAGTTAGAGAAAGGCTACTTTCTTTTAAGCTATTAGTTAGATACTTCATGAAGCTCTCCATGATCTGAATCATCTGGCTGTAACAGAGCAAATTTTAGTGAATTTAAGTTGTAAAAAAAGTATGACCTTATAGTACTGATGATAGTCTGTCCTAGTGATTACTAGTAATCACGACAGAGTATCCAACTAACCATTCATTAACCACTTAGTTATTTTGGTTCCAGCCTGTAAAGGTTGTTTAACTTTATTTAATATCAGTACCTACCGTCCGACTGTTTACATGTTTTTCAACATTTCTAAGCAAACCAATCAATAAGATAACAAATCAACAAGTTGAAAATAATTTGGGACAACTGTATGTTATGAATAAGAACAATAAGATCACTACTGAGACTGGTGAAGGGGAATCGGTGTATTTAGAGCTTATATCTAAGTATGAAAAGTGTAAGTTGAAATTTGATTTATAGCTGTATAAACTGATCATAAATAATAACTAGTTAATTGTATGTTATATAGAGTATGTATTTAAACTATCTCAACTTAGACTGAAGTGAATACGTCATTTGAATTCCTACTGTTATTTACTCTGTTTCTAAATGTTTTCTATACAATACATTTACCAACTACTTCATTGGATGATATAAGCTTTGTTTTCAACCACCTATCATTATAATAAGCTAACGTGTAATTAAATTTAAAGGCAATTTATTTGATGGAATAGCACGTATTTAGGAGAAACAATTCCTTAGTACAACACGCTTTCTGAATAGGTTTTACTTGTTCTCATAACTTCAAACGCACTTTCTATTTGAGCTAAAGGGATTTAATTAAGAACTAATAATTTTGGTAATTTCATGAACAAATACACATGAGTGAATGTGATCAACATTAAAGTCACAAGTCTCATCATAATATTAAATAACTGAACCAATCCAGAGGTAAACTAGCTTAATTTTCTAAGAAAGCTCAAAATTAAAAGTCTCATATACATCTCTGTTGTTTAACAAAAAGTGGAAAGATGTAGATGTAACCTGAATCTTGATAACTGTCTACTCGTCAGGATTTCTGAGTCAAAAAGGAATTCGTTTCAGTTAACTGGTTGTTTTTCGCGGATGGTGAGTATGAAAATCACTCAATTATATTTTTGTATGATTTACTGAGTTCCATAAATCTGTCAAGAAGCCAAACTTAGCTTCAGTAATACAATTTAGTAATGTGAATTTAATCTCTTCCTACATTAATTTTATGCAGTTGTAGAGTTGAGAAGTTCCTTCTTTTTACATGTTACATATTTTATTTATGTCTTGCACAATTTAGTTAGAGTCAAACAGTTATCTCATACAATCCAGATAATGCAATTATTATTATTTCTTAGCACCAATAAACAGAAATAAATTTATATTATGTGAATATTTCTGGGTCGCATAACTTTTGTCCTAACGTATAGTTATTAGAAGTTACTTTCGTCTTTTTAAAGGTAGTTTGTAGGTTATAGTGACAGAATATACATTCCTTTGGAAGCAAAACGGTAACTGAAACCATTTCAGTGGCTTAAATACATTACTAATGAGCTTAAAGCATTTTCAAATAGTTAACAACTAGATTTCCACATATTCTAGAACACTTGAGGCTAGTTATTGAAGGTTCCTACCACACGGTTCGAATCAAAAGAAATATTCTGAGTAACGTTATTACTTCATTGAGCTTTAAAACTTAATATTTGCTTAACCTTAATGTTGGAAATTACAATTTAAAAGCATTTTGGTCCAGTATTGATAGTAAATGTTTTTTTATTCACAGTTGTCATAAGCACAAAAATGTGCGCAGTAGCCAGCCTGAAATTTCCAGAGAGCTTCAATTCTGAGTCAGTTATTGACATTCATTTATGTCAAGCATTTTACCAATTCAAGTAGGTTGATTTTTGAGTTTATTAATTACTCATTTGTGGAAGTAAGCTGTATTTTTCTGCTGAACAGTAACTAATGTCGTGTAGTTTGCTTTTTACTGTTTGATCATACTCATCATTCAAATGTTTGGTACGCCAACCAAGTTATATAACATATTGTCAAGCTAAACAAAATTTGTTGTTTTAGATTAAAAACCGAGTCCGATGACAAAACTTTCTTTGGGTTACAAAATTATCATGGGACAAGCAGGCGGGAAATCGAATATAATTATAGGATCAATTAATAAATTTGTCGATCAACTAATAACATCCCTGATTATAGAACCTATTGATCTTGAGCTAAATCTGCTAGTATAGTTATTCTTAAGGTTGTAAAGATATACCTCTGGCACGTCTCAATGACCGTGAAATATCGGTGTATAGCTTTATGTTTGTTGACAGCTAGCTATCGCTAATAAAATTGAAAACTGGTTGGTAAAATGGGTAAATGTGGCTGTTATATCTCAAAGTTGAAATATTTAACTCGATCGACCACAAAAAACTATGCACTCGTGAACAGTGACTTTTTATTCATGTTGTGAGTTTTATACTGAGTTTGTCGAAGACTGAGTAGCCCAATGGTAAGTCTTTTGAAAACAATCCTTTAAAAAGCATGTAAAAGAGAACAATATTTATCATAATTATTATTATTATTGATAAGTGAAGAAATATAAGTAAGTTTATTTGAAAGCTATCTATTAATCTGTCACATGTTCCAGCTTAACTAGAATCATCAACTGTCAATTTTTTAAGTGTTTACTGTCGCAACCATAGAATTCCATTAGTTCTCATAAAAATTTATTTTTGGTGTAAACTTACTATTGCTAAGATGTTTCATAACATCTTTTGAGATTTAGCTTTTTGATATGAAATTTCGCTAGATTATAGTCTGTAATCTGTCACAGAAGTTTTGAAATTTCGTTTGCAACGAGGTTCGGTAAAAACATTTCCAAATGTCAGGTTAAACATAAACCTTTTGATTAATTACAATATACGTTTTGATGTTGTTTTTAGTTTTGTTTCTCTCTATATGCGTTTGGCATTCTTTAACAGGTTGCGAGTTTTATTACGGCTGTCTTCTTCTAGGACTGTTTTCACTTTATTCTCAAATATCACAGCTACGATTAATTTTCTCCCCTTTATATTCTTATCCTTTATTTACTGAAGCAAAATGGATAGCTGAAAAATTATACCATTAATTTATTGGGTCAAGCATTAGAATCACCGTGACATATGAATAACTCACTTGTTCTTATTCACTGCCAGGAAGACTGTCATTATTCACTAGGATAGCTAAATGAAATTTTGTTTGACCTCAAATTCTGTTTAAACAGTTCGATGCAGTTCATATGGTCGATGACATTCAAACAGTCGTTCGTTTGTTGCCAGCACTTGCTTAAACAATTAATGTCTAATTTCACTATAATTATGCTATGTGAATGATTTATGGATAAATATACTCATTAGACACGAGATTTATGAATAAAAACATTAGTCAATGAGTAATAAAATATGTATTCATTTCACTTGGAATAATGTTGTTAATGGAATTTAATGGTTATAAAACAAAAATAATCAAGCAATTTAAACTTTAAATGATTACCTTTCGTGAATTCGAAACATTGTTGGACGCACTGAAACTCTACAAACTCAAACTAAGAACATACTATTAAGCCGTTGTGTCACTTGGTTGATTTAGTAAAATATTGGTTTCTTTAAAACGATGTCATTTGGAAACACAAAAGTGTTAACTGAACTTAAAATTCACGAGATAATGAAAACCACAACGTGACAGTAATTTAATGAGTTCGAGTTCCTGTAAAAATGGCAAGTATCTCTGTTCAACCTCAGGAGTTATTATGATTATGGTAACCATATTCGTATGATATTATTCTAGTAAAAGTTACCTATCCTACAATTTTATAGTAAATACCTCTATTGGATCATCATTAAATAATACCTGTAGACTTGAAGATAATGATTTCTCGTTGTTTAAAGTTTTATTGCCAGTCTATTCATATCTGGCACTCATTAGAATGAGATTAGTTAAAAGAACGAGTCTTTAGAATCTCTGTAGTTCGGTTATATGTCAACCACTGTACATAAGACCTGTTGTTTGATGTTTTGAGATGATCAAGAGCTTTCATAGGTTTAAACTAACATTTGAAATGTCTTCATTTAGGAATGATATTCGAAACGCTTCAAATGTTTTCGAGTAGATTAGAGTTGTGTTGGTGAGTGATAATAAGCATCAGGTTAATTAAATAACATGCTGCCGACTCTTGACTACATTCAGCAGTGACTGGAATCAAAGTACATTTCGCGCATTTAATTTTGCTTAAATTCTGTTTTTAATTTATGGTATCAAAATCAGAACTCTATACATGTCATCAACACAGTATTATTTACAAGATTACTAAGCTGCCTTCCCTTCAGTGAATTTAATTTGACAAAGTTTAGTAGGAGCGATAGCATTGCATAGGCTGAGGACACACAGTAGATGTAAAAGAGAAATGCGCAATGTTGAGGAGTCCCACAATAGGACGAAACGGTCGTCCAGTGCTTCCAGGTTTTCCATGGTGGTCTAGCCCCAAATGACTCATGATCTCAACTGTTGAAATTACTACAATCTCCACAAAACACCTTCTGATACTAATCAACATATGCTCACTAGTGACTGGCTTCAAGACATATATCCTGGAGTTCTAGTGAGAAGCAGTGACCAGTGGAGTTCAACCGAGTCAGTTGTGAGGTAGTAACTCAATGATGACAATGATGGATGTATCTCTCAATTTCGTGAATTAGTTGAAGTTAGACATTAACACCGTTGGGTGCCGGCTCAGTGGCCTAGTTGGTTACGCGCCTGGCGCGGGGCTGATAGGTCCTGGGCTCGAGTCCTGCGAGACGGGTCGTGGGTGCGCGCTGCTGGGAGGCCTCACAATAGGACGAGACGGCAGTCCAGTGTTTCCATGTTTTCCATGGTGGTCTAGCTTCAATTGACCCATGATCTCAACTGTAGGAATAATTACGTATAGCTAATATTGAGAACATAAAGCTAACCTTTCAACGCAGACTGATTGATCCATTGTCAAGTTTTTTTCAGTCTAGAAAGGCATATGAAAGTTTTTTAACCAAATAAATTGGATATAATTTCTGTCAGGAACATTTCTGAGCTTATTAGATATATTTTTCCTTTTATTTAGATATTATGGCACAGGTAATTCGTATCATAATCAAACAATATTTATTAGTGATATCCCTACCCGCATTCAGAACAACAATAGGTCATTTTATCGACAAAGTGAGATATTTCAAGCTGACCGACTTATCCCCCAACAAAATACTGTATATTATATTTGTCATGTTCCTCCATTGAACGCGTCAATGGAATATCGCGTCGACAGTAGCACGATACAAGTAAGTATTACAATAAAATAAACCATATATACAAGTTTACAGTACTTTACTGATTTTCTTATTTTAATTTACCGACTGAAACAAACATTGGGTGGAAGAGAGTGTGATTCAAGCAGATCACATCGTAATGAGTATACTAATTATTACCTATAATTGTGTGCAAAAATGTTAATTGTCCGATTAGTATCTTAACAGTTAAACATAGATAAATAGATATCGACCTTACGTAACATCACTAAAATCATATGGTAGATTTATTTACTCTTGATTTTTAATAGAAAAAATTATTTTGAGATGCGGTATCTCAAATAAAATTTCACTGTGAATTGATATCATTCAGAGCATAGCATCAATCCCATTCCGTTACCACTAAAGAAACAATAGCGGTGATTTTGAGTGTCAATCTTAACTCTAACTACCTTCATTATCTTAAGGAATCCTGCTTATAATGTTCAAGCATAACTGAACTTTTAATCAATTGTTTTCTACAGTTTTAGAGAATAACCAATACAACCAGTGGGATAATTGGTGACTTAAAATTCTCTATTTGTAATCCAAAACTACGGAAATGGCTTTATTAGTTCCCAAAACAATGGAATTAGTTTTTTATTTCTATTGTTATCTTACAAACTGAATGAACAATTAACCTGAACTATGGATACCAAAAGAATAAAGACTGTAGGAATCTTTAAAATGGGAGTTTACTCTAAAACCTGAATTAGAAGCACACAATAAGAAATGACCCTAATTTCTAAGAAGTTTTTCTAAAAAAATTATTGATGTTAGTGATATTCTCATACTTTCATATGCTGAACTGGCATAGATATGTAAGTAAATTATGTGAAATGAATGAGAAATGATATGAATATTGGTCAGTGAATGCTTATCGAACGAAATGCTTTGTTTCTGAAAGTAAACTTTTAAGGTTATGGTGAAGGCTAACCTGTTAAGTACACTGTTTTAGTTAAAAAAAAAAAGACTTTTTCAAGAGTTAATTCCATGAACTGGATTTCTTATTCATGAAAACGAAATTAATGTAGGCCAATAAGATTAATTTTTTAGTTAGATTATATCTCTTGATTGAGTTGATTGTAGGGGAATTAGAAGAGGGAACTAGATGACAATACGTATTGGTGATAGCCTCTAAATGTTTTAAGCAAATTGACAGGGCAAAAAGTACTTTAACATACTTTCCATGTTCTAAAGGATACGAACCAGTGTAAGTTAAGAAAGCTTTTCAAGCCTATTTTGCCATCGAAATATTATAAGGTTTTAGAAAGCCCTAACATAGATGCATACTGAGATGAGTTTCTGATCATATAATCAGCAAGCTTCCAAATTAGAATATGAACAAATGAATATCAAAAGGAGAAAATAAATCCTTTCTGAAAAATAAAATGGTGTCTTACAGTGTTTAAATGATATGATTTACTGTCAAATTCAGTCACCTAAACAAAAGTCTAACGCTTCTTTAAATCGGAAGAATCAAACAGACGGCTCAGAAACCGATATTTTCTAGATTCTTGAGTAGATATTTTGTATTTACTAGAGGCCACGATTAGCCAAACTGTGAGCATACGGACAATGACCTTCGTCAGGAAACGAATTCAGTTAGCAATTGAAGCTCACTCACAAAGCACCAGTGGCATAATAGACGATAGACTAGTTCGATTTCGATAAATACTCATCAGAAGTGCCTCCACAACCAGTTTTCTTAATAGAAAGTTGACAATAAAACTGCAACCTGAAAGATAATCGAAAATCCGAATGAAAGCTCTTATAATGAATATAGAACGTAGGGGCACTGTCACGGAAATCTTGAGAATTTCAACATCTCTCATGAAAACTCTCCATTCTTCCAAGCGCTGTATTGTCATTTCAAGAGTTCTGATCAGTCATGGATAGGTATGACGATTAGGAGTAGTTGAATTATAGTACAAACTAAGAATCCCAGAAATAACGCATTTGGATCAAGAAGTACTAGGCAAGCACGAACGAATGTACTATATTTGGAATTCGAAATCAAGCATTCAACAAGTACAAAGGAATCGTTAGTTCATTCAAACACCACAATAGGTTAAGGAAACTTTTTGGCTTTGTACCACTATGATGTACATTTTAGGGTTAACTTTTTCTTGTGCGGAAGGTTACATTGGCCAAAAGCAAGAACACTTTTCAAACGCGTCTCAGAACACTACCTGTAGTGAATTTAAAGCGAAATCCAAAATAATCAACAGCTCAATGTAGAAACACCTCATCAAATATGGGCACGTTGCTTGACTAGAATTATCATTTAAAATAATCTACGTTATCGAAAGAATAGAATCAAAAACTTATACACAGTTCAGTAGTTCAAGCCCGAACTCAGTGAGAAAAAGCAACACATGGAATCACTACTTCTCCAGTGACCTTAACAAACCTTACAGGATACTTTTTTCTATACTACTGTTTTATTTCTGAATCTATAATCAGTTACTATTACCCTTTAAGAAATGTTCATATTCATTATCAAATTATTATTATTATTATTATTATTATTATTATCACCTTTACGTTTTTCTTTTGTTCTTCATATGTGCTATGTAGGCAAATATCTTTCGTATTTCCAATCAGCAAATTATTTTAATCTTACTATTTCATTCGAGATCATTACGCAAACTTCTTTTGATATTTGTGATTTCCGGTGACTTCACAATACAAGCTATTCTATTCTTCTGTCGACTCACAAGTTTATCACGTCACTACAAATATAATTGTACAGCTGTTGTAAATGATGTCGACGTAAAGAAAATTTTCACTGAATTATCTCTATTTCTATTCAGTGACACAATGAATTTCCTTTGTTAATAAAAATGTGCATTTATTGAATATATTCATATCGAAACCGAAAGGAGTTCTATTTCAGTCTAGGGATAGGATTTTATGTCCAACTGTGTTCTGCTTCGTTGGTCTAGGAAAATGAAACCTAAAATTGTCGTTCCTAATTTGATAATATATTAAAGATTATGAATTATTTAGAGTTTAATTTTGAGTACAGAGTTGCCTCCTGGTTAGGTGGTCTTTATTGTAATTTATTGACCAATGAAATATAATTGCGGGTTAATTAAGCTTACCACAATGAAACTGTTGAAACATTTTATCCTCTGGATTACCCTCATTGTGTTTTTTTCATTTTTAAAAATATTATGAAATGTTAACGATAGCATATGCAGAATGAATTGTAGTATAAAACCAATATCCTTTCCCTATATACTCAGACCATCTTAAATGCTCAATTCTTAAATGTTTGCATTTATTTTAGGATTGGTGTGGTATATCAAACAAGCGAATAAAGTTATCACCAGCCGATCATTTATTTATTACGAAACTGAATATAAGGAATTCAAGTTCATCTCATCACAGTAAGTTACTGTAATTTCGACTGTGCTACATCCGCTTGAATAGTATTTATTTCAGTTGATTAAAACTATCGATTAGTCTGCGCGTGCATATATGTTGGTTCTAGAACACTTTGTTAATCCTAAAGCATTTTGTAGTGTAAATTAATATCAGTTGTAGAACCACTGAATACATTTTTACATACATTTTTATGGCTAAGACTATAAATTCTCTCAGTGTTTATAGTTTAATTTCAACAATTAGGCTGAAATCTAATTTCCCAAAATTAAATGCTTCATATCTTGGAACTGCAGTTTATGTATAATACAATGCGACCATCATTAGCTTTGTCGTGCCCAGCTTGGGATATTTTAAACGTCTCTTTTTCTTATGAAAACTTGAACATTTCAGCTTGAAATTTTGCCGCTAATAAGCTCTGTTTGATTCAATGTTTTATTTAGGATTGTGGTTTTCAAGAAAACGATTACAAAGAACTGAATAATTCTCTGGAGGTTCCCGATTCTCACTTGTTCTGCTGCTGTTTCAGACCCTATTTTAACGGCATTTGTACATATATAAACTATTGTGACTTAATTAGTGGAATGAAGATTTTGTATCATCAGCTATAACATCCACTTTTTTTAACTACATAGTTCGCCAACAAAGTCTTGGTTCAAAAGTTAGTTATTGTTTGCTAAAATGATGGTTTTAAGTATTCCAAACATTTTATTATTGAAATAGTTTCAGCTTTATATACATATGTTAGCTGGTGTTTCGTCACTTATGCTGTGACTTAAATGTTCTTGGGCTCATCTGTCAAGAAATAAGCTATTTATCTACATCAGAGTAATTAATAATGTAAATAATCTTCATGCAATATGGATGTCATATAATGTTAGGGCACGGGGTTAAACACCCTTTAAAGTTACTAAATAGGATGTATTGTAGTAGCTACGTACACCATTTCCAATATACTTATTCTTTTTTCAAACGGAATTTTGCTCTTAACCATTTTACAATCCGACACTGCCTACTTCAGTTTGGCCCGACCGTTGATTCTACCTTGACGTGGTGGTCGAGATTGCCTACCATGATGAACCAATCGGGCTATACTGGCTGAAACAATCATTTCTCAGGGTCCTGCCATGCCAGACAAGTCGGTTGTAGAGTGGTAAGACTAAAATCAGCAAACCTGATGTCCGAGGGAGAAGTTGTACTGCTGACTGTACAAAGGTGTGATATCAGTAAGGTGTTTCCTTCAGACAATCATCATGACAGCGATGCTGCCTTCCCACAAAGGAAGGGTGGGGTCAGGAAAGGTCGACCTTATCCCACGAATGTCCGTCTCCGGCGGTAAGGTTCCAATAAGTATGGAGCTAACACAAAAATCCCCCACTAAAAGGTCGTATGTGATCGGTTTCAAGCAGTTGTCCCTTGAGCACTGCGGTCACGCCCTCAGGTTACTAAGACCACCACTAATCATATTTTATTTTCAGGTACCTCTACAAGAACCCTTCCATGGTGTGGTCAACCGGGAAGTGATAACCGTCCTTATACCTCCAACAGCACTCAAGATCACTGCATTCATAATCAATCTCCCTCTTCAATTCCTATTATTAACCCTACATGTGCTTCCAACTCTAAGCCTCCTCTTTTAACTTCCTCCTCAAGTGTCATCATGGCCAATGATTCTAGCGCACTGTCCCAGGCCTACTGAAACTTTTCTCTAAACTACACATTAGAGCCTTCAACGTACATACCCTATGTCAAATCGGCCAGTAGGTCTCCTTGAATAAGACCCTAAAATCTCGTACCATTGGTGTGTGCTGATCATTTACTTGATCCAACCTAGTCAAAACGGAGAGCCAAAGAGACACACTCTCCGTGTATCTGAACTGTCATGTGTACGCGTGGCACTAAGTACGAGGGTTGAAAAAGCACTATTAGAATGGATTTCTGTTAAGAGTTGCCTATGTGCTGTTCGGCTAAACTGCTATGTAAGAATCCTGAAGAACAGGGACACACGTCGTTGCCTTTTCGTCGTTTCTGCCTACGCTCCCATTTACTGAAGCCCGGATGAAGTGAAATATGACTTTTACAGAAAGCTCTCTGAACTGCTTTATAAAACTAAACGATCAGACATAGTGCTCATAGCATGTGACTTTAATGACCAAGTAGGTAGATTAAACCAAACAGAAAGACATTTGGATGGGTATCTTAGTAATCTGGCTCAGCGAACAGATAATGGTGATCGTCTGCTGCAGCTGTGCCCAGATATACGTTTACTTTCAACAAACATCGTCTAACATGGCGACCCCCTGCACCAAACCAATGATGGGCTCAAATAGACTATATTGGAGAAGCTCGATGGAAGGCTGTCTCGCGTTCTGAAACGCCTGCTTGGACTTCGATCATGCTCTAATACTATCACGCATTTGCTTTCACCTCACTAGACGCAGATAAACCACGTTAAGAAAACCAATTAGAGTTGAACTCTGTGACAAGAAAGCCAAAAGTCTATTCCAGGAACAACTGAGATCACACTTGGGTAGTTCTAAAAACAAGGCTGACCCAGATGTTGCTTGGAAAGATATACAAACAGCTGTGTAAACAGCAGCGACATCTATTAGTGATTTAAACCAGAGTTACGAAAAACCAGTGAATTTCTATTAAGTCTATTGCACTGATAGATTCTCGTAAACTCATTCCATCAGGCTAGGAACATGATGAAGAGTGTAAGCAAATCAAATTTAGGTTAACCAAAAGTCTACGTAACGATCATAAGCAGTAGTGGGCAACGAAAGCAAAAGAGATGGAAAAGGTAGCGGCTGTAGGTAACACAAAACAGCTTTTCAGACTTATAAAAGAAACTGGAATTAAGAATTTAAATGTGAGGCAATCCAGGAAAAAGATGGCACTCTTAGCTGCTCTCAGTCTAGACGTTTAGAACGATGGGCGGAGCACTTTAAGGATCAGTTCAGCTACTGTACAACTACCCATCTGGTCAGCCTTAGTGAGTTGGTGTCTGACGAAATCTCTGCACGGATTCAGAAAGCTCGTTTGACTTTTGTCAACTTACATCACCTATAGCGAAGGTGATATATCTGTTTACCAATCAAGGGAAGAGTATACTGCACAGGAGTTCGTTCTGTTCTACTTTACGACTGCGAAACGTGGCTATTAATAGTAGAGGATACTCGTAAGCTACTAATATTTGACTACAGATGCGTTATAGAAATATTGCTCGCATCTGCTGGGATCAGCAGGTAAGTGGTAGTGAGGTTAGACGCAAGTTATTAGGGAATGATGGTAAATCATTTGATGAGGTTGTGGATTTTCGCCGACTGAGATGATTGGGCCACGTGTTGCGTATGCCTGAACACCGATTACCACGACGTGCAATGCTAACCGGTGTTGGGAATGGTTGGAAGAAAGTTAGGGGCGGCCAAACCAAAATGTGGCATCAGTTCATAAAGCCACTAACTTCTAGTCTGAACCATGTTGATAGATGCAGACTACTTAGTTGGGGTGCACGTGACTATCGTAACCAATGGTTGGAGACTCTCAGTGACATGACTCAGAATCGATCACAATGGCGTAGGTGCATACACCTTTTGTCTTCTCTTAAACCATGAGATTAAAATTACTTCATACATTTTCTTCCTAGTAATTAATTCTTCCTCTCTGTATCACATCCCTTTATACATTCTTTTTTATATATTACTATTATTGAATAATTGCTTCTATGAATTTAGTGTTCATCTTGTTGTGCTAATGAGGTGTGGCAACTTGGAGCAACGCATATATGTGCCTGGTCCCACGTTGTAGCTAAATGATTGACTTTAGTTTGGCCGACGAGGTGGTATCATTAATCCTTAACTCCGAAACAGTGACGGAAGGACCAGCAAATAAACCTGTAATCGGTAACTGAGTTACATAAATTAATCTAACTATTTAAAATTATTACCTGGGGATAATTTGATCAGTGTTTACTGCTTACATTTTACTTTAATATCCCTGTATTTTACAATGGCGTCTATATCTCCCAATAAGTAGATAAATTCTCAATAATCTGAATTCGCTCACAGTAATTTCAACTTAAAAACTTTGTCCAACTCTTAACCCCATTATAAAAGTATTGGTTTTCCAGATTCTTGAGGGTAGTGATTGGGATACTCTAGAGTATTAACTCTGACATGAACACAAGATGGCTTACTATCAAGAAGGCGAATTATAACTAAATCACTTCTCTTAACACATGTCAGACACCTTATAACTAGCTTAACGATATCCACTGAGTCTATAGTAATACACAGTGTGTACTGACAACTTTGATTGAGAATTAGTCTCATCAATGTTCTAGATTCACCTTACTGCTAAGTGCTAAAAATAGGACACCCAAGTCATATTTTTGGCTGATCCGCTAAAACATTTTAATTCGCATTATTAATACGTTTAATGATTATTTCTTAATTCCTTGATAGATTTTGTTCAACACTGAAGATGTAAATGTAGGATTATTTACTATGCGTTGATTAATCCCTCTTACAAATTTGAAACGGCTACTGAGGTTGTTTTGACTTTTCCCTGATCATTAATGATACCTTAATTATTACTAAAGTTTGTGAAACACACACACCATTTTTATGCAAGTAAATACATTTTAGGAGTACATTATGTTCAGAGAGTTCTACACGATGTTTGGAATACTCGTAACCAAAGTCAATTTACTGACATCATGTGAAAATCAAGACTATTTTGAAAAAGTCGTTTTAATTAAATCTCCATTTGCCCACATGCTATCACAGTTATTGGAGTCTTGGGCAGTACTATCAATAATTGACCCAAGCAAAAAACAAAACAAAACCTGATTACAAGCTGAATTTCAACTCAGTTTACTTTCCTGTAACTATCAAAATAGTGATATGTAAAGTCTTGTGACTCATAAGTCAATACCAAATGTTAAGTCAACAAACAAAATCTGAATTCTAAGCTGGACTATGTGGCGTCCACTATTTCTTCGAAATCATAGTATCCCCAAATAAACCAATTACCCACTTGATCAGATCTACAACCTTGAGTTGACAATCCCTAATTGGTCTGCTATCTGTAAGCCATTTTCCATATCCTAAATTGAGTTCAAAATAAGTAAGCAGCATCTGCTACATCCATATTTCAAATGGATGTAGTTTATATACAGACATATCGAAGCGCTTCACAGAATAAAATAAAAAAACGTAGTTATAAACCAACAAGACAAAAGTAGTTGTAAATAGTGGAGACTGTAAGTATTCGACTGACAACAACTTAAGAATAGTAAATCATGTAGTCGTACTTAATGGGTTAACCGAAAGCTAATAATGAATGAAATAAATTCATAGTAATCTAGTTACTCAGTAATCATACAATGAAATTGCAGTTAATGATAATTCGAAAAATCATTTCCAATTCTTACAAATATATGTTCCGTTATCACATGATGTAAAGGAGTAACAGAACTTGTGCATTTCAACAGTCAGTCATAAGTGTCACGGATCCTGTCACAGGTGTGCATCGGCTCAAACTGCCACACTTCACATCAGAATGCCCACTTGATATCAAATGTTGGTCATGGAAGTGGTCTTAATATCAGTGATAGTTAAGAAGTTTAGGCAAAGAGATAAGAAGTAATTTACACACGGAATAAAGGGTATAAAATAGTTTCCGAAATCGAGATCTACGGGTAGGCACACTGTAAATATTTCTGTACCGCTGGGCCCGATTTTTAGCCACATTACTCAAATGAACTAACTTGAGCCATTCATTATTCACTCATCAATATGGCTCAGGCTAACAATCGGTAGATTCCCCTAACTTTTTTTATTAATGTTCATTGATTTTTCAATCATTTTGTTCCAGATATTATCTACTTGATTAAATAAATCTTATCAATTCATTCGTCTAATGTTTCTAATGATAGATTTAAGTGATGGTTTCCTAAATAATAGTTTTAAAAATGTAGTTACGGTAACTAAGAGCGGCTGCATAAGGCAGGAAATTTCATCGTTTAATAAATCAGCATATGAGTGTCAGTTGAAACTACTTTTTATACAAAGCAACCTGATAGAAAACATGACAATATGGTTTTAACATTTCACTCACTGGTACCCTTTGTCGTGTGGTTTTGTCACTGAAGAGCCTCCTCAATATTGCAGATAGAACATGGGCTCGGAGTTACCTACCACCAAGCAATGTACAAATTTACATTAGCCCAGTCAGGGTTCACTCAACGAAAACTATTCTGTTTTGAATTAGCATATGGATAAAAATAATTTAATCTATTGGGATGATATTGTTCATGATAATTATCTAATATATACTTAAGAAAATACCCAAAATATATGAAAACATTTGAGCGTTCACATCACCTGTTATATTAGCGTATTGTGCCTATATCATAAGTTTTTAATTTAATCTTATACATGGAAAGGTGACCTTTCTACGCCTATCTGTCCTTTCATCATTTTTGTTGTTCAGTAGAACTATGGTTACACATTCGAATATTAACTTACTTCCTAAAATCATATTTTGTTTAGTAGAATATTTTTCACAGTATTATTTTTGAGATCATATATTTAGGTTAGGCTTACTAGGGAGAAATGGGAATAGTTTTAAAAAATTGAAGTACTACATCACGTGACTACTTGATCGAAAGGGTGTTTTATGATATAAAATTATTTAAAAATATGAAAGCATGTTCAATCAGATGGTACAGAAAACTTGAGATATCTGATGATGTTCAGTCATATAGTTCATATAACTAAAAACTTAACAGTATAGAAAACAGTTACAATAAATACAGTTTATTTCTCATCGAAATAGAAGGGATGATGGTATGGTGAATTACATTCTTACGTAACGATTTTTCCATCATAGATTTTATAAGACTCCGTTCTTAATAAAGATAAAAGTGAGAGATTGAAAGTATCAGTAAGCTAGCTAATCAGTGGTCATTAATCATGTAAATCTGCAGTATGGCCACCATAGTAGTCGAATTTATTTAATAACCAAAAAATTATCATTTAAGTTAGATCCAAAATTGGTTTACATTCCCTTAAAAAGAAAGTAATATAAACCATGTAGGAGAATCAAAATCATGTTAACGAGTTGGAAATGGAATAATTAAGTTCAGATAAAGACCATGAGTATTTAAATATACTGCTAGTCTATACATTTCATCTACTGAAAACCGTATGATCCTTCGCAGGAAAGTCAATTTAAAATTATTTCTAAAAAGAGTGATGAGTTATATATATATATATATATATATATATATATATATATATATATATATATATATATATATATATATATAAACAACTGTTGGATTACACCCAGTTGAAGTCAGATTTACAGGTTGAACGAACTGTCTCCAACTAAAACGCGGGAGTTAAGTGTTCCACATCTAGTATATCCTAATTGGGCTTAATCAATTTAAACTTTCTAACGTCAGCTTGTAAGAGAAAAACTGGAATGTTTATTTCTTGCAACATCAATCTGTTAGTAAGCTTTTCTTTTTCAACAAGTTTAACTTTTTATAAAGAGTTTTCCTCACAGTCAGTCATAACTTATGCTACTGATTTTATCAAGATTATTAAACCATTGAAATATACGGGCTATAGCGTTTACTTTTATACTTGTTTGCAAAAACTAACGAGATGTGTCTGCTGGAAATTAAACTCAACAGATCCTCATTCAATCAAATAATTGCTACGAACAGAATACTTGTTATGGTTTTCCCTTCAAAGGAATTAGTGACTTAAGTAAGGAGATAAGCAAAATTTCTCACCATTATCCAAGATTTACATTAACATCTAAGCCAACAGATATGCTTATAAATATGTATATTTGTGCGCAAATATGTATATATGTGTCACTGATATCTATACTTGAATAAGTAAAAACTAATTATTCCTTCAGTGATTTTGACCAAAACTATGCTGTAGAAAGGATGTTACTAACACAACTTGCAAAAATTCTTCAAGTTAAGAAATTATTTCAGAGAAATATTTATGTTCCTCATTAAGTAATTTAACAAATAATTATTATTTATCAGTATGGTGTTGTGGAGATTGTTGAATTTTATTGAAATCATGAACCGATCTAAGTTAGACCACCATTGAAAACCTGGAGGCAATCGGGAACCGTTTCATCCTAGTATGGGACTTCTCAGAAGTGCTCATCCGCTGCATTATCACCATTGGTCGTCGGCTCAATAGTCTAGAGGTTAAGCGTCCGCGCTCAGGCTGAGGATCATGGGTTCGAGTCTCGCATGCAAAGTCGTGGATACTTAATGCTGAGGAGTCCCATACTAGGACGTGATAGCCTTCCAATGCTCCCAGGATTTCAATCATGGTCTAACTTAGATCGGTTCATGATTTCTATGAAATCATTATTTATCTGGTCCTAAGTAATAAGCGAAACTACGTTTATCTTGTTGAACGTACGTAGTGTTTGGAGGTTGTTGTTGAAACTTCAGATTCAATATTGTCGGTGGGAATCTAGTTGTGATGAGTTCTTTATAAGGGTGTCTTGATATGTGAGACTTATGTCGCCATAAGCATTGATCAATTTGGTAGATGAACAGTTAAAGTTGTATACCGTGATTTTGCTGACTTATTTCATCGTCGTTCATCTATGTAAATGGTAATAAATAATGCAAATTAACTGATTTGCCAAAAATGAATGGACTTCACCTGACTTCACATCTTATCTGTTGAGTAAGGAACAGTGAAGCTGTCCGACTGAGTAAATTGAAATAAGTTGAGAGCGATTTGAAAGTGTGATCTAAAGGTTTAAAACCTAGTATTTCAACGACTAACAGCCACCTAACCATTAGGCTAACCGTAAAAATGTCTTTTTATTTTATTACGAAAAAACAATAATCTAAAGCGAATTCCTATTGTAAGGTTTTAGTTTTCCAAATGGTGAATCAGAAAGAAGTATCACACAACTGGAGTGGTATGTATATTATTATTATTACCAAGCATGAGGAAAGAAAATAGGTGAAGGATAAATACAAATGGAATAAACTGAACTTAAATGAATCGTAAAGGGGGATTCATGCGCTGTCAATTAGTGAACTGAAAAACTTGGGGTATTTGAGCAAGTCTATTTTACTGAAAGGAACTTCCTGTATTAAGCCGAAATACCAGGAACAATTTTGTGAGAATTACTGTTTTATCGTGGTACACTTTACAGCACAAGATAGGTTTATTTACTAAAAGCAAACTAATCGAATAATTTTATCCCGACTTCAAAATTTTCGTCCGGCTCATCAGATTAATAATAGTAACAGCTAAATTATTATTTACTCAAATGATTTTCGATAAATTGGTCGATTCGAAAACAGATAGCCGTATATAGGCGTTTACTGAAGAAGGGTGAGAAAAGCAAAGAAGAACTGGTTACTTATTTCTCTTCTCCGAAAGCTTTGCCTAGTGCACAGACTCACTAAAATGAGACTGAACTCAGAGTCATCACATAAAGATTCTGTCAGGATCTAAAGATCCATCATTTAGATAGAGTCACAACGTTTATTACCAATTGTCTACGATTTATACTATTATTAAAAGTTGTGGATTAATTTTTTTTGTATTTTCAGTCAAATGTTCTCTACTATCGTGTCTCAGTTTGAACCAAGTGACTTTTATCTGCTGCTCCTTGCTACTGACGAATTTAACTGTATGTTTAACAGTGATCTGGGTGTGCAAACGTAAGCAACAGTTAAAACAGCATCAACTTCAATACACCTTTAGTCAGAACCTACATGCGAAACAGCTGTTAAGTGATTCACTGAAATGTTCCATTTTATCTGCTACTACACCGCAAAAAATTGGCGGAACACAGCAGCAACCAGTTTATCATAATGAGTTTGGGGCGTGTTTGAACTATGAAGTCTACGATGAATTTGAACCATCTAGCCGTACTAATTGTCCAAAATGTATGGCTTCCATGATAGAACAAATTAACCCCTTATTACCTTATCAAACAACAAGAAGCATCAGTCAAGTGTCGGTGAAAGACTCATTGAAACAGCCGTCAAATGAAGATCTTATCTACCTTAGTTTTTTGAATAGGCGTTCAATAACAGCTCACCCAAACTGCAAGGTACAACCAATATTGGAAGCAATGACAAATAAACCAACTGAAAATTCTAATATTTAGTTTGAATTTAGATTTATCGATAAGTGATGGAAATGATAGTGAAATAGGACATAATTAGATAATAACACTAAGTTTTATAGCTGCAAACAAAATACTTATCAATGTCCTTTGATCGTCACTATAATAAATATATTTCCATAAAATGTTTTTCTGAGTAAAAGGTTAATTATATTATCTAACTGGAAATTATATAGCTGAAATTTCTCGAAGTATCTAATCACTAAGTAATGCTCTTCATGCTGGTTGACATGCTACATTGTCTAAGTGAGCAAGTAATACCTTTTAAATGTAGTATTATCTTCAGACAAAACTGAGAAGTACACAGCATACTAACGAAGTGTTTTCTAACAAACTTGATGAAAACAACTTCTGTAATCTAGATAATCAGTTGGTCGTAAAAGTCACAGAAAATGGTACACATGTCTATCAGTCCATATTGTCACCATATCAAGAGAAATTAACAAGGTGAGAACCACATCAGGGGAAATAAAAGTATCAACTGTAGCGGAAAGACAAACATATATAGTTTAAGAGAAATTTAAGGGACGATATGAAATTTAGAGTAAGATAGAGAATGGATGCATTAAGGATCAGTTTCAGGCTGTCAGTCAACGCCAGCCATAAATGAAGACCATTTCATTGAAGAGGTCTGGGAGTATATTTACATGTTTTGATGCTACGCAGTTCAATACACAATAATCCCATGAAGTGACTGTCTTTATAGTACTCCTCCTAGTCTTCTCCAAACCTGCTACTTTGCTGAGTGGTTGAAAGGCTTATTTAGTATCGTTACGTTTCAGTTCCAAGAGGACGATAGACTTGGTCAGTACATTAACTCCCGCGTCTGAGACATCTCTAACTCTCGCATCTGCCGATCCCAAACTCTAGTTAAGAGTTAGCTGATCGCCGAAGCTAGCATCCCACACATTAATGGTTAGACTGTTTCCTGTGGTTGCCAAGAGGATTTATTACCTTTACTCGTGAACTGGGGTCAGCGACCGCAGCCATTCTTGTAAAATTATGTTTATCTGCCAAACGTAAGCTAACATCGTAACCTAACAGTTGAGAATTGAACACCAAAACTAAGGGTCTCTACAAGTCAGCCCGCAGTGGTTTAGTGTATCCCCTTCACAGGATAATTCCTCTAGTCCCTCTTTGGATCGGAAGGACGATTTTACACTCAGGAATTTAATAAGCGGTCCGCAGATCTTTATTTATGAATAAGACTACTTGCTTTTTTCAAAGTATTCTGCTCATTATTAAGGTTTTTGAAAGTAAACTTAGTCTATCTTTTCCAAAGACAATTTCGCAAACTTTAAGCTCAGTTCTATTAGACGGGTCTAAACAGTTGTCTAGTGTGATCTAATTGATTTGCTGAAACAAGCATGGAGTTTAAGTTGCATCAGATAAATTTTAGTATTGGGAATTCCACTATAACATCAGCTCTTATGAAACCAATTCGTAGTCATGTCCCAAACTAGGAAAGCAATTAGCTAGGTTTTCTACTGTTGACTATTGAGGCTTCGGTGAAGATTCAGAAAGAAACATGATTTTATGCAGCTATGGTGACCGTCGTGTCGGTAGAACGTCAGCCACTTAAGCTGGGATGTAGTATCTATTCGTAGTCACCGACTCTTGGATTGCAAACCGCCAAGTTGGAGTACCCGTGACAATCAGGTTCAATAGTTTGAGGTCTTATGTGACAAGGCTTAGAATTGGTCTAAATGGTAAAATGTGTGCTTTTTTCTCCCTCTAGATTTAAATTAACAGTATTATTTCTCACTCTTATCCGAGGCACCAACCCCTGCTTCTCGAAACATATTCTACTTAATCGTTTTAGCTGTTATTGATACTATTATTGTCTTGACTACTTTGCTCGTCACCTTTATCTCACTGTGATGATGCAATGTGGCGAATTCGCTCGACCTACTAGTACTAAGTCCTAAGTAGATAATTGCTGAGTAATAACAACAATCCAAAAAAGTCGATGATAGACATACTTATGTGGTAGGCCAACTTACCAAGCTGTATGTCGATTATGACTTGATTAGATGTTTTGTTAACAAACCTTAATTTTTTTACCAAGGAGACTTGTTCTGATTAGAAAATGACTATCCTTTAAAAACAGGATTATCTAATCTGCTTTTATTGAATTTACGTGACCATATAAATCATAGTCGCTAACTACTGATAGCTAAATTATGTAATTTCATGTGCTTAAAAATTAATATTGCATCTTCGTTTTACTACAGATATTAGTCATCAAAAATAATTGAAAATACTATGCAGACCAAACGCCACAGTTCACACCGATATCCAGTGGAGTGTATTGGAATAAAGAATCATTCACGATAACAATCACCAGAAACACTTTAACTGGTCCTAGGTTTATAATCCAGAAAGTATACGTTTGAAAGTCCAAAATATTATTAAAACAATCATCAAACAAGCACAATATAGCTGCATAGTCAGGAAATTAAGTACCAGAATACAACAGTAATGTAAGGGAGAAAGAACAGTTCTAATATCTAACATATAGTTGAAGACAAATACCAATAGAATGAATGGTTCTTTAAAATAGCATGAAATAGAAATACAAATAAATCTTTTATATACCCCTGAAAGAGACTAGAAGACTACTAATCCAAGCATGTTTCTGAAAATAAACATGATTCAGTGGAATATGCTTTCTACGACAACAAATAGTGCAATGATAATAGTAATATCTAGGAATAAAATAATTCGAAAATATCACGTTCGGTGCAGTAATCCTGTTAGATAACAATAACAATATCTGGAGTGAATAAGTATTCCCAACAGAAAAGGTCGCGTTTATATTATTTCATGACTGAATACATAAAGTATGAGTTTATAAACCATATGCCTTCCACATCATAAGTTCGAAATAGGAATCCGAATCTATCGACGCACTAACACCGCTGTAGTAATTCAGAAATTCTTCCCAGGTAACCTGAAATAGTGCAATTAAAAATATCTCAGTAAGTTCACATTCAAAAGTCATTTCCATGTGGACATTCATATTTGCAAAGGATACCATAACAAAACTAACTCAAAAGTCACATTAGGGTAACAGGAGTGAAGACTACGTGTTTGCTTACAATTACTATAACACATTTAATACTTCTTGAAACAAAAATATGGTATGAGGACACCAAGAAATTTACAAAAAATGCCTTAGTGATAAGATGCAAACTGACACTAGAAGCAAGTATGCAACAGTCTTCAAACCCATCTCTCAAACCTCTGATTTATCTTGATGAACGGAAGACAGAAATAGAGTCTTCATTCTAATGACAGTCGATGATCAATACAAATTCAGTACATCATGTTTTTGATTTGGAATTAAGGTTTCCAAACGTCTGTTGAAAGACACCGAGATTCTAACCATATGGTTTATTAATAGTAATGACAATAAATATGCCCTTATTTCCTCTGTACTTAAATCACAAGGCCTGTGTAAGTAAATAAGACCATAAACTGAGACAATCTTCTGGTCTTATTAATGCTGAATGACATATTAATAGAATGCCACCCTGTGAAGTTATGAATGTTACTTTACCATGGAAACTATCAGTGAACATATTTACAGACTGAAAGTAGTAGAGATCATGTACTTAACGGTATTCGTTTTTCAAAGTAATAATCGTACACATCAGTCAAACAAAGCAAGGAAATGTGTTCTTAATATTCAGGCATTTTTCTCAAAAACAGTACTTATGAGTTGATTACATTTCATTTTAATAGTGCACCAAGAAGTATGTTACACTAGACGAAGTAGCATCAGTTTTTAAAAAATGGAATCGGAGATATCATAGTATTAAGGGGACTTGGTGCATCCCCTCTTTTCATAGAACATGTAGTAAGATGACAGTTGGGATATATTTCGAGTTGTGTCCGCTACCAGTTAAAGCCACTAAATATCACGATGGCCAGAACTCAATCATGTCAATACACAGTGGTAATTTCCCTTTCAGAGCACTAAAATGAACTTTGCATTTTCAACAAAAGAGCAAAACTAATATTATCACATCCATTCAACACACACCAACACAGCAAGACTAATATCGTGTCACAAGCAGTACATGTCAACGAATGTTCCCTTGGTTTTTACTGTACATTGGTCGACGTTGTATACCATAGTGACACCCAATAACTGGTCACATAAGTTAATGAATGCATACCGATGACATCTAGAATGACAGTGAAAATATCGAGTTTAGAGAAAATAATACTACAAAAAACAAGGTTTCGTGATTTGCGATACATACGACATTGTTTAAGCATTTGACAAAAGAGGATATAATTACTTCATCGGCTATGCCTTTTTTCCTTGCACTAATATACTATTACTTCACATACTACACTTTTATGTCGCTATGCTGATATGGTATGGCAACTTGGTGCACTCAACTAATATATTTGTCCCTCAATGGTGCTCACGTTCTCTTTGAGGATCCCTTTGGATGAGTAACATTACCATTATTCCAGAGTGATGGAACACTCAGTTGATTATAGTTTTTAGTTAAAGTTGTTTCCACACTACCACTACGTAGGGTGGGATAAATTCTCTGTCTGCCTGTGTCCAGTATTTTGGGCGAATTTTTAGGTTTACAATTGACGCATCATCAACCTCAGACTGCAGCGTTGACATAAAATATATTCCAAAAATCTAGGAAAAAATTACCGTCTTGGCAATAATAAGTAACTTTTGACCAAATCGGCTTCTTTTCAACCGCTCTCAACCAGGAATTATCTTGCCCGTAAGATCAAACCTTCGGGAAACCAAAAAATTTAAAAATACCTTAAGTGGTACCTAAGTGGTATAACTACAAATAATGTTATGGAAAACAGTCTCTCCTAAGCTTACCAACAAAAAAACTAATTCAGTCAACTGTAAAACTATAAACCGATATGTCACAGTTAAAAAATCATCTCATCAATGTTCACATGACTGTCATGCGACTAATAAAACCAAAGTGTGGTTCTGGGCGTAAACATCAGGTTAGTGATGGTGACGGGTTTTGCTTGGTTTCTTATAACAATCATAATCTTAATTACAAAATATCATACAACTCCAACTAAATTAATACCACTAAGATAATTGACTCTAAACTAGTCACAGAGATACACAAAATTGCAAACGTTTGATAAGATTTAAAGATTTCAATAAACGTGAACAAACCAAATTACTTACGACACCATCCACAGACTTCTCGTTTTCAAATGTTTTTAGAAACTCTCTTAGAACTTGATCTTCAGTCGCTCTCCCAGACGTGTATTTGGCATCATATTTAACTTGATACACGTTGTGTAGATCATCCAACTGAAAGGGAGTTGTTGAAAAGTCACTCAAGTATTGTTTTCAAACTCCACAACTTCACATACTAAATTGTGAGACTACTTATTTTACTATGGCTTCATGTGAAAGATTCTTACAAATGATAGCATTACTAGGCTTACTACCGTTCTGTTAATTTTCACTAATAGTGTCGAAGCCGTACCTGCAGTAATGCTTGGCTAGTGAGGAGTGAAACAAAATAACACTTGGACCTCTGTTTGAAATAAAAAGCACAAAACGTAAATCATTATCTAACTACATAAAGTCAGCGTCGTAAAGCATACAGATTTTGGTCAGATAAATCTAATAGTGTCACCTAATATGAAGCTGAAGATGTTCAACCTAATACAATCGCGTTGATTTGCCATGCCCTATACCATTGTCGCAAAACCATATACAAGTTATCCAACTAATACTTTCTAATTGCAATGACAATTGTATGATCTGACCATTTTCTCGTAGATTAAACCTAAGTGATCCCTATAAACAAGGTATTTACCACAAATATCTTCCATTGTTGAAACATATTCCGTGCTTTGTACGAATATTAACACTGCTTATAATACTACCATAGTTTAATTACCGTAATTTTCCCGTCCCCGGTTTTGTCCATTTTATTGAATGCCTTCCTGACAACATCTATTCGTGAATTTGACATTGGTGGCTAAAGAAATAACTGTACAGTACTTGGCAAACCTACGCGTAAAGCACGTAGAAACTCGTCGAAAATTATTGTACCACTGCCATCCTTATCTACCATTCTGAAAAGCACATCAACCTCCTCTGGAGTTAAGTTACAGCCGAAATCATGGCAACCCTTCTTGAACTCTTCTTTAGATAAAGACTTGCTCCCATCGTCATCCATGATACGAAATTGTTTTCCAAATCCATAGATACCATTCGCTCCACGCAACAAGCACTGACATCTGAGTTTTTCCAGTGGGTCTTTGGTCGAAGTAAGTACTTTACGGACATTTGACTGTAGGTCACGGATGTCCGCCTCACTAGCAGTCATATTTGACGTTTAGCCCAAAAACAAATTAGTGCGTTAGTGACTACTAATTTGCTATTTATTATTGTATACATTATAACACAAAAGTTCAATGAACAGGGTCCGTTTTTATTGGTTTTATTCGTTGTGGAAATGTTAAAGGATCTTTTACTTTAAAGAGAGCATTTGTTTAGAAGTAATAGATCAATAACACCTAGGGCTACAGACAGGTTTTTAAAAAAATTTCAGTTTCAGTCTCGGAAGGATGGAAGGTGAGTAACTTGTTTTTGCCCTGATGATAGGATCTCTCAGTTAATACAGTTTTCCTTAGAACGTATCCACATATGGAACCATAATTAAGTGTTTATATGAGGAGCTTCAATCGTTGATTCGACGTGGAAGTCGACAGTCACTTAACAACAATTTATTCTGGGCCTGTGAGATTTTTTGTGGTAGCATTATAAATTCCCTGTCATGGAAGACGAAAAGAATTAAGTTAGCCAGATGCGAAACTATTATTAAGTTATTTAAAAGCAGTAATCGAGTAATATATATTCCTCCGAAGTGACTAGGAGAAAAGACTTAGTATAGTCGGTCTCTCTTCATACGGCAGCTTTGCAATTCTAGCACTAAACCTTTTTATTATTTCACTGTCTCTTTTGAGCAGAATTAGCGGCTTGTACCCACTGCGCGAGTACGGGACAAACAGACGCTTCGCACAAGACGGTGTTAACATTGTTGCAGTAAATAAATCACCAAGGTAAATAGCTCTGTAAGTTTTCGACATTGGATGCTGACCAGATTAGTTGTAGTGGACTCATCTAGCTGAAGGCTCTCGGTCATGCATCCGCACCAGATCACGTGTGGTGACGCTGTGCTCAACATCTACCGCAATCGCTAGCCAGATTAGATCAGAGGATTCCGATATATTGGCTATCGCCAAATATACTCTTCCGATCTCCTCGACTCTGTCTTTTGATTTCTCTTGGTGGGTACCAATTATATTAAATGGTGTTGCTGGTAAAAGGGTTGTCAAACACTGAACACCTGTGCCATCTTCAACATCTATGTAGTTAAAGGCTTGAAGTAATGACCAATGTTTCTTAGATTTTCAGTACCTACCACGCAAAAGCAGGTAGTGGTTTTTGTATCCTAGTCGACATTTACATCTAAGTCAGCGTGTATTTCGTCGACAGGTAGTTCAACGTTATTTACAGTGTATGTTTCTGTACCTTTGTGATCAATATAAATCATGGTGCAGTTAGAGGCATTTACCTGAAACTGCCAAAATCCAGACCGCTTGGCTCGTTCCCTTGGGTTGTTTATAAGCTTTAATCTGTCAACATTTTTTATCGCCTTTCATATCTTGGTACCGTCAGTATGTAAGAAAACCGACGATGATAGGGGGCGAGGAAGGTCTTTTATACATAAGTGGAATAACACTAGTTTCAAGGCTATACTTTTAGACACTCCATTGAGCACAATTTTCCATCTGGAAAGCTTGGTGCTAACATGTACAGATTTTTAGAGCACACCTAGGAAATCATTCATCCGTATAAGCAAGTTTACTCTGATCTCGATATCTCCCGAACTAGATAATAACCAGTTGTCTGGGAGCTTGTCAAAATCCCTGCCAAAGTCAATAAAAGCCACATATCTGTGCAGATGTACAACAACTTTGTTGTGTTACCGAAGTTTTAGTGGTGGTAGATACCCTTCATTTGACAAAAGTAAACAGCCTGTAAATGTTTGTAATAGGTTTTCATTCACATCGTAGGATCAGGAAAATCGGAGCGAGAAGTTATATTTCAGAAATAAGCATCACAACATTTAGTGTAAGATTATAGGGAATATGATGGCCAATAAAAATCGGGAAGTGTAGTGTGGTTATAAAATAGGGACTGAGAGTGTATGTAGTATAGTTTGTGGATACGAAAGATTCCAGTTAGGGTCGTTGTTGAGAAAAAAATTCAGTTATCAGACCGCAGGAGTCTTTATAAAAACACACGAAGGTTGGGCTTCACAACGAAAGTGAAGTATACTTTTAATTAATTTTGACCGAGGAAACAAATATTGACCTAAAGAGTCATATTTAGACTTTACATCTCATGCAGAGTTAAAGTCGGTCAGAAACGAAGGGAGAAGAACAGGATCATCGCTTGCGTACAACTGCACATTAGTCGATAGAGAGTCAACACGAAGTCACCATTTTGGCTCGCAGAACTCTATCTCAAGGTTCTGTAGTGTGAATACGAGAAAACGCGGTATGTAACATCATTCTGATTTCATTGGTAATGATGATTAGTGGTGATGAAATAGAGAACATCATTTACTTCGTACACTATCTGGCAAGTATCTTGCTTATTGTTAACAGGACTCGAATAGTAGAGTACGGGAGTGTTTTCTGCACACACATTCATACAAACAAAAGAGAGACAGAGAGTGAGTGATTATTACGATCGGTTGCAATACTTTTGCAATGTTGTTAATGTTTAAATAAATAGCTAATAAGAGCAAAGACAACAAACACACATGCTAGTCACACACAATTCACTTTTACTCGATTGACGAGGTCATTGTAAACAAAGGCATATTAAATCGTCACCAAACATTTGTTCAATTTAAGTGACCCACTTAGTGGATGGTGGTGTTTAAACAAAATTATATTGCACAAAGACGCAACCAATACAAGTAGAAAATAAATCTCATTGCTTCAAACAATCTTGTGAGGAAATTAGAAAAATTGGGCTAACCTAAACCTAAAATCGAACACGCTCATGATTGAGAAAAAACGGAACTACGTTTGTCTGGAATTAATCTAGACGCAGGTTAGAGCAGACAAGAAAACATTTTGAAATATTGATCTTTGTATATATAGACTGCTTTAATTGGTCCTAAAGTTCATGAAACACATAAGTCTTCGATTAATCAGCTCTTGAAGGTAAGTTAATGTCGGCCGTTGAATATTGTCTGATATCACTTCAGTCAGAAGCAAACGGAAGATATATCAAGAATAACTTCTAGGTTGCTTATGACTTAAAAATGCTCGGCGAATGTTGACCAATCCCGTCTTAAATCAACTGAATAGGGAGAAGGACGGTTGAAACTGAAGAAACTGTTATTCAGTAATTCAAATATAATTAGATAATATACCAAATGCTACTAAGCGACTGCAGAATTCCCAAATATTTGAAGTTAATTCTAATGGTAAATATTCGTGGTACTTTATATCACATCACTCCATTCACTTCAAACCTATGAACTGAGACAGTCACCACTCAATTATGATTGCTCGACGACCATGACCGGGAAAGACCTAATTTCAAGGATTGCCAGAGGTACATGTTAGGCCAGTTCTGAAAGTAGTTCTAGCTGAACTAGCACCCGGGTGATAAATCGGTTTTCAAAGAGCTAAGGCTTGAAAGTCAACGCTACCGAAGAATATGTGGATACATTCTTCCATTTAAGAATTTGTATATCGCTTCCCACAGTAGATGATCTGTTTTGTAAGTCAGATCATCAATAGACAAATTAGAGAAATAATTAAACTTATACCTGCAATTGAAAGTTAATTAGCACATGGCTGTGATGCTAATGCCGAGTTCCACTTGCTAAGGACAGCAACATTTGCATTGAGACACCTTTTTCTGTAACTCTTCTATTTCTACGTTGTGCGCTGCTAAAAATTTAAAATAATTCTAAATGCATCCAGAAGGAAACTTATTGATCACTCGACTTAGTGGAAAGGGGCTCCTCCCTTTGTGGTTCATGCCTCTGGGGCTTCATTATTCTGGTGTTTCCAGAACAGCTTTCCCAATTGTAGCAGGACGTAACTTATTCACATGCAAAAGGTCACGTGTGACTCGCGTATAGCTACAGTCTATGATTTTTGGTCAATACTTATCCTGTCATCAACACATTTACAGCATGAAACGTTGCCGTTTCATCACAACAATACGAATAAGTGAGCTAAATTTTAAAGATATTTCATAGATTTAGGTGTAATGTTCAAGTTTTTGCCCTTTCCCGTATCGAAGTACGGTGTATCGATCTATTTGCAATTTACGAACCCAAATTAACAATAGAACCAATTTAGGTACCAAAGTTAATTCGCAATTGACAAATAGTCTATCCAAATGTTGTTCTTCAATTTTGTAGGTTCCCGTAGTAAACCAAAGACAAAGAGAAAACAAAATGTCCGAAAATAATGATATAAACAAACGAGTTCAGAAGTTGAGTAAAACAAATACATCCAAAAACAGTGAAATTAAGAATATTTCATATAAAGGTTTTATTCAGCCAAATGTCTTCAGTTCTCCGTAGCAATAGGATCACGAAGAAGAAGCGTGTGTGTGTCACCGCTTATAAAATATTGAGATACACTGTAACAATGTTCGATTGGTTTATGAGTCGCGCCTAAACATAAACAACTGTTTTATTTACACAATTGATATTTAACCTAATGAAAAGATGAGAAACAGAAGCAGCCAACGCAGTGTCAAAAGTGTTGAAATGCACTCGGTCGACATGTTAAAGAAGCTTGAATATAAGAGATGAAGTTGAGAAAAAGTGACAAAATAAAGTCATTATGAGAAAATATCATTTCCATACACCTGGTATTACACATAAACAAGCGTAGGCTACTCACCAGTTTTCTCCATCGAACTATATACTCAGCAATCCTTCACAGTTGTTTACAATCACAAAATATTTTTCGATACGTGCTTTCAAAGCTTGATGCAACCTAGACTAAGATAAGTTTCGGGGATCGCTGTTAGAATTTTTCTTATCCAGGCTAAGCGTTTGTGAATTTGAGGGTATCTTCTGTGTTCCCGAGAGTCTCATTGTCATCTACTTGCGTTTTTGAAAAACTTGATGACAGGAAATACGGAGTAGAGCTCGTCAACTAATGACCAATCGACATTCTGGTAAAAAACAATCTGTCTTCTAACATTCTACTTATTCATTAGTATCAGACCTTCGTTCGTGCGAATCAAAGAGATTCTGTAGTAACACAAAAACAAATAGCATGAATGATAACCATCTCACTTTGAATCAAAAGATCAACGGAACATACAGATGAAGAGATCAAAAAGAATAGCTCCGCATTTAGAACCACGGCAACAAATTACATTAAAAAACGTGTATGTAGAGGAATTTCCACGCACATCCAAGAGAAATTTCAGATAGAATCTTACATTTATGCTAAGGGCCTTAATTAAGCTACTTACACCTGTTACCCAAAATGGAGGAGCATAAGCTACTCACCAGCGTTCTCCATCGAACTATATACTGAACAATCCTTCACAGTTGTTTCCAATCACTACACACTTTTCGATATGTGCTTTCAATTCTTGATACAATGTGTTCCTTAGTCTTCCTCTCTTTCATTTCCCTTCAGAGTTCCAAGTAAGCGCCTGCCTCGTGATGCAGTTTGATAATTTTCGAGATACATATCCTACCCACATCCAACGTCTTTCCTCAACTCCCTCTTCAGCTGGAAGCCAATTTGTTCTCTCTCTCCCACAGTAGGCTGTTAATGGTATCCGGTCGGTGGACCTGGATTATCTTGCGTAGACAATTGTTTATAAATACCTGTACCTTTTTGGTGATGGTTTTGGTAGTTCTTTAAGTTTCGGATCCACACGGTAGAACTTTCTTGATGTTTCTATTGAAGATTCTGACTTTGATGTTGGTTGACAGTTGTTTTCAACTGAAAGGATGTGATCCTTGCTTTGTCGATCCGTGCTGTTACTTCTGCATCGGATCCTCCTTGTTCATCAATGATGTTTACCAGACACGCGAAAGTTTACATCTATTCCAGAGCTCCGTCAAGTGTGAATGGGTTGGTATTCTTTGTATTGTATTCGAGGATCTTGCTTTTTCCCTTGTATATCTTGAAGCCTACTGATTCATAGACTGCTGCTACACTAGTTTTCGTCACCTACATTTGTTGATATGTATGTAATCGAATGGCTAGGTTATCTGCGAAGTCCCAATCATCTAGTTGTATCCAACCTGTGGATTACATCCCGTGCTTCTTCTGAGATGTGGAGGTCCTCACGATCCAGTTGACCACTGGGAGGAAAAGAAATCAAGAGAGTAAGCAGCCTTTTCCAATTCCTATCTTCACTTGCGATGCATCTGTCAGCTGTCCTCCATGCACCACTATGCGGTGTAGTCCATCGTATGAGTTTCCGAGGATGTTGACGATCTTCTCAGGTACACCATAGTGCGAAGAGGGTTCCATAAGGTTCTCCCGTTCACGCCGTAAAACGTCTTTTCATAGTCGAGGAAGTTGATGTATAATAGCGAGTTCCATTCAACCGATTGCACAACGATGATCTGTAGTGTCGCGATTTGGTCTATACACAACCGACCCTTACAGATTCCGGTCTGTTGATCTGGAAGTTGGACGTTCATTCAGTTCGGCAACATTCTGCTGAAAACTACTCCTGGTACCGATAATTGTGTGATGCCTCTGTAGTTCTCACATTTGCTTAGATCTCCTTCTTTTGTTTTCTTGATGAGGTACCTTGAGTCCTCCGAGTTTGTCGGTATCTGGAAGGATGACTGTATTAAACTTTCACAATTCTGTTTCTCTAGTTGTCCAGTGTTTCTTCGATTTCAGTTTCGTCGTTGCCACAGCTAGGTGGTGATCTGAAGCTATGTCAGCTCTTTTCTTGGTTCTCACGTTTTCCATGGATCCTCTGAATTTTTTATTGATGCAAACATGGTCGGTCCTGTTCTCTGTAGTTTGGTCCGGTGAAACCCATATAGCTTTGTGTATGCGTTTGTGGTGGGGAATTGTCACCCGTGGCCATGTTGTTGAAAACACATTAATCTATAAGTCCCTCACCATTCTTGTTCCCTCCTCCGATTCCATGTCGTCCCATGACAACTGCAACCCCACTTGGTGAATGCATAACACTGGGTAACATTCATTGTGATCCTTTCCTTCTTTGTTTTGTAGAATGTTTTGACGGTTCTACATCCATGAGACACCCATCCTAAAAGTGCTTTTCATGCTTCTTCAGACAGCATTATAGCAAATCGCTCACTGTGAGTAGCACCTTCCTCATCGTGCCCAGGGTACAGCAGCATCTCTACCGTATCTAGCCTATCCTGATCAGCTTGGATCCAATGGGTTTCACCGGCTGTTGAGTGGCTTGTTAAATTGGGTCAAGAATTACAGCTCATGTGCAATGTCGTTGAAATCGTTCCAGATAATCCTATTGTCATCATGCGTTGGGATGGATATCAACCGGAATTACCAGCAATCATGTTAAATTCACATATGGACGTAGTACCAGTAGTCGAAGAAAAATGGTCATATCCTCCATTCAGTGGTACAATTACACCTGATGGTAAAATATACGGTCGAGGTACTCAGGTAATTAAATCTCATGATTATACTGTTCGTTAGAGCAGCATAAATATTCACTTTTTACTCAAATGTAAATAGTTATTATGATAAACTTATTATAGTTGAACTAGTAGATCGATATGATTGTAGTTATAAGAAGTATTTTACTGTAATTTTTGTTGTTGCATGTTAGTAACTAGTTTTCTGTGCAGGCTTGGTTTGACCATTCGTGTAATCGTATACATCTTATGGAATTTGAGTTATATAGGTGGTCGTCTACACGTTAATACAAGTCTTCGCTTTTAACAGAAAAAGCTGCTACTTTAACATTTGTTCGTGAAACAATCGGCGAATTTTCCGTAAATCCCGAGTGACCGCGTGTCAAACTAGTCATCATCAACTTAGGACCTTGCAAAATTGTACACTAACCCCAATTCCCATACCATATCAGCACCTTGCGGGAAAATGCACTAAATCAACAGCAAGGCAGTCGGGGTAGTATTTGGAACCTAAATTCTGTGGGATTATAGATTGACTAGTGGCACACTTCAGTCGTATTTAAGCTGAAACTGGTGCGAAAATTTATTGTATTAACGCATAAGATTGTCCAATTTACCTATATATGCATGGCTTATTTTGTCTATTGTGGTGCAATAATTATGGATTTAGAACTGTAAAGTTTGGTGATCGAGTTAGTGGAAACAATTATTTCTTCAGGTATTCCTTGTTCTTAAATACTGAATACATTCTGCACTCCTGCGTCCTATCTTGAGCCATGACACCTAAGGCTGCCGGTTATCAGTCACGATTATTGCTCAGACTCTATCCAGGTAGTTTTTACATACACACACAGCCTAAACCAATGGTCATTGACTTAATATACTGGGACCTCAACTTAATTTGTCTGCCTTAGCTTTCTTATTCATTTTGGCTACAATCCCATCTAACAATCTTGTGGAATCTTTAAACTGTGTAAATACGTATTGATATTTTTTCTAGTCTGTAAACTAGATTCTGAAAGGAAACATTAAGAACATCCCTTTTGAAAGTGAACGTTTCATTCAATAAAAATTTTAATAGTTGAGATCATGAGTCAACTGAAGCTAGACCACCATGGAAAACCTGAAAGCATTGAACGGCCGTTTCGTCCCACTGTGGGACTCCTCAACAATGCGCATCCACGATCTCGCCTCGCGGAATTCGAATCCAGGACCTACCAGTTTCGCGCGCGAGCGCTTAACCTCTAGACCACTGAGCCGGCATCCAACGGTGGTAATGTCTAACTCCAACTAGTCCGCGAAATTGAGCGACACATCCACCATCTCGCGAGGTGAGATCGTGGATGCGCACTTTTGAGGATTCGCACAGTAGGACGAAAAGGCCGTCCAGCGCTTCCAGGTTTTCTATGGTGGTCTAGATTCAATTGGCTCATGATCTCAACTACTAAAATTACTATAATATCCACAACAAACCCCCTCTGATAATAAAAATTGTGTTACTATGTTTTTAATCAGATGAGTTCATATTTTACACCTTGAAAACTATTCCTTACCTCGATAGTTTCAAATAAATTGAGGATTGGGCAGAAGGCGAATAATAAATATATTTTTGTGAATTGACTCTCATGTGGCCACAAAATGTCAGATACAATATTCTACTTGTTGGGATACCTCAAAAATATATTTATTATTATTCCGAACCTACTTCAGAACGGGTGTAATTTACCTAGTATTTATGGTAACAATTTTCCATGTTGTGTTGCAAACCACCCCCATTACTTATTGCAAACTCCAACTTACGATTTTCTCACCAAATTTGCCCATCCCAGGCGTCATTAAGGATGCTTTCTCCCTATTATTTTTCCATCTTTTGATAAGTTATTTTTTCCTTACTCTTAAGGACATTGTAATTATATTTATGCGTAATAGTTGTTATCCTACTTTAATCTTTTTTAGTGTTATTAATAAAATTAACACTCAAGACTTAACTGTTTTCTTAACTGGGGATCATGAACTAACATAGCAAAATATCTACATTCATGGCTTAGTAGATTAAAGCTAGGAGTAGGATACATTAGTATTATGTACAATTTAGTTTGTCAACATATTTTTAAAAATTCAGTTGTACATATCACATTGCAAAATAAATTCTTCTAAAATAAGTTTTTAAAACTGCTATGAACTATCCATATATCACCCATTTGACGCTCTTTCTGAAAAATTTCGGATTCTATGTATCTCTTTGTTATTTTAATATTGGTGTAGGGTGTGTGTGGAGATTTTTGAATTTTCTTCTGTACGTCACGAACTGACCTTAGTTATCTAACTATTAAAGACTGAGGAGCACTGGAAAACTGTTTCATCTTAGTATGATACTTCCCATCTTGCTAGTAACTGATTTACAAAAACAGTTTTCCTATATACGTTGTAAGGACGTAACCAGAGGAGTCCAACCAGGCCAAGAGTGAGGAAGTTGTCCACCAATCGGATTGGAAAATGACCGAGTAATATCACGAATTGATTAAAATCAGTAATGTAAACCATCGGATCCCAACTCAGTTTTCTAAACTTCAATGACTCACTGTGAGACCTGGAAGTTTTCAGCCCGATTTCCGATAGTGTCGTCAGTGTTCACTTGGAAGTCCTATACTGGAGTGGAATCGATGTTTTCGATAGTTGTCTAACCAACGTCAGTTTGTAATGTAGACTGAAAAGTTAGTTTATTACTTGTGAAATTTTGAAATACATCATTGAATACTCTGTCCTGAGATGTTATTTAACCTGTTATGCCATTCATATTCTTTTGTTGAAGGATATGAAATCAATTGGTATCCAACAGTTGGAGGCTATTCGACGATTAAAATCACGTGGATGCAACCAGTTGCGTCGTACAGTTTACTTGACTTTTGTACCTGACGAGGAGTTAGGTGGTGTGAAAGGAATGAAACCATTTGTATTGAATCATAATGAATGTAATAATCATCATTCCGAAGAAGTTAGATTTCAAGATATGAATATTGGGCTTTGTTTAGATGAAGGTATACCAAGTTGTTCAGAGGATTATTTAGCATTTTACGACGAACGTCGTCCAGTTTGGATAAATGTACATTTTCATGGTAATGCTGGTCATGGTCTGGCTTTAATTGAAAATACGGCCGCTGAAAAATTCCGGATATTTTTAAATAGGTAAGACTTCTTAAAATATCTTCCATGTTTTTATTTGGGTTTGTGTTGATTCCATATCGTATTTTCAAGGGATTATATATATATATATATGTATATATATTGAATAAGATGTCTTTTATTTTTCTGTCGATGGGACTGATAGTAGAATGCAAGATATACTTTTTGTCCAACTTCACACTTGTAGTGACTAACGTTCATCACGAGAACACGACTGGTTTAATAAAAACAATTATTTTTATAACCAACTCTACCAGTGTTTGTTTTAACGTGCTTTTGTTTGACTGTGCTAATGACAGCTATTTTGTGCTTCCATTCTTATACTTACACTTCAATTGTAACTTCGCGCGAATTCGGTTACCTTCTGTAACCAAGGTTGTATCCTGGCACGATCTCGGTATCCTTTCAATGCCACGAGATCGCCAGCAAATATAACTCGACTTGGTCCATTAATTGCCTTCTGGTATTCGGCTTCTCGGGGATTTTATGGAGTCATTTGGAACGAGCTTCTTACACCTGATCTAATTGGCACGTGTTTCTTGGTAGCGGTGTTCAAAGTTAATCTCAACGCGACACCACGCTACACACTCACCAACTAAATGTACTTGCATTTTTTATTGTCAACGTACTCACTGTACATCAACTCCACTACCATTCGCTGTCACCTTCAGAAAGTTATTCATGATGTTTTTTAATGGGTGTTGGAGGTCTGTAGATCCTTTGAAAGCGACCACGATCATTTATATAGCTTTTGTTTGCTACTGTTAATCCTAAATATGATAACTGTTTAACTCGAAATGTAAGTTTGAATGAGTTAATGTCTACATTTTTCTCTTGCTGCAATAGAAACTCCTCATATTTAACTATTATTTGTTTATTTCAACACATAAATATTGGCACAAGGAGGCACCAAATGCATATGCGCCACATATAACAATGAGAAGAGGAAAAAAAGAAGGTAAGGAGCGTAAAAGAAATAAAGAACAATAATGACCAGATTAGTGTAAGGTAGTGTAATAATAATGAAACGGAAAGGTACAACCAGAAGAAATCTTTCAGTTAAGGAAGATACAACCATTTTCTATGAAGAAAGTAAAATAAGGCTACAGCAGGATCGCCACTGGCTTCTATTCTGAGCCATATCTGAAAACGTATCTAGCCACTTTGTTGCACTGTCTCTCGGATCCCCGCCAGGGAGTCGTGAAGGACCAACAGAAGCCAACCCTTTGCAGCTTTCTTTCATGCCACGACACCATGTCATACACTGACAACCTATCGGCCTTTTCCAACCTGTCCCACTGTCGGCAAATGATGCACGACGTGGAATTCTGTGGGACGACATTCGTAGGACATGTCCAAGTCACCAAAGTCGATGTTTCAAGATGATGACACCAATTGGATTATCGTCTCTGCGCTCGAACACACGATGCCGAACCTCTGCATTACTAACATGGTGTTGCCACTGAATGTCAGCAATCCTTCGGAGACAAAGATGATCAAACACAGAGAGTCGTCTGATATCCTCAACTCGACGAGGCCAGATTTTACAAGCATAGAGCAAAATTGCTCTCACCGACGCGTTGTATATCCGACCTTTTACAGCCAGTCTGACATCACGAAGGCGCCAATGGTGACCCAGATTGGCATAGGCCGCTCTGGCTTTCACTATACGTGCGTTGATCTCATCACTCACACCACCATCAGCATTTATGCAGCAACCTAGATACGTGAACTCGACTACTTCTACCCGCTCACTAACCAGGGTGAGTGCAGGTTCAGGGTCCTGCCAGTCTTGTAGAAGTACTTTGCACTTCGAAGGTGCAAACAACGTACCATACTTACTGGCACTGATTGTCAACTGATTAAGTGTGGATTGCATGGCTTGGACATTATCCCACAGTAACACAATATCATCCGCATACTCAAGGTCGAGAAGTCTTTCTCCAGGCAATAGATCCACACTACCATTACTTACATCCATCAGAGCTGTTTTCAGAATGTCATCGATGGCAAAGTTGAGAAGGAATGGTGAGATTGGGCAACCCTGCCTAACCCCACTGCTCGAATGGGACAATGGAGGAAGGTGGTTGTATGCCATCACTCTACCTAAGGTGTTTGTATATAGGGCCTTTAGGATGTTAATGAAGTTCTCAGGCACACTCTTCTTCAATAAACAACCGCAGAGAACAGTCCTGTCTAACGAATCGAAAGCAGCCCTGATGTCAAGAAACACTACGATTGTTGGCTTGTGATAAGTATGTCGGTGTTCCAACATTTGGCGGAGGGTGGAGATATGATCAATACATCCTCGACCAGAACGAAACGCAGCCTGCTCCTCGCGAGTCAATTTTTCTCGGGTTTTGAACAACCTACGAAGTATGACGGAAGCCAATAGCTTGGACGCAATAGGAAGAAGACTTATCCCCCGATAGTTGTTACAGGAACAACGTGAACCCGTTTTAAAGATAGGGACGACTATCGACTCATTCCATGACGCTGGAAAACTCCCAGACCTTTGTAAACAACGTTTTCATTTCCTTGACCAGAAAGTCACCACCATCTTTAAAAGGAGCAGTTTCGGTGATTTGCAGTGCTTCAAGAGTTGGAGTTCCTTGCGGACTTCCGCCTCATTTGGTTGATCAGTCGTCATTAAAAAGTTTTTTTTTAATTGATGGTGTACTTCAGAGGTCGATATTCACTGCACAATTATTATTATTATTGATATTATTATTATTATTATCATGGTTTAACCCTTTCACTTAATATTCATTGCTTTTCTCTCTCTTTTCCATCTAAATAAATATTATTCTTAAGAATCTATAATGTTTAAAATTATTTGAATTGTAGTATGAACGAAGAATCCCCGAAATAACGCAACTGAATCAAGAAGTACTAGATGAGCACAAACGATTGTATTGTATTTAGAATTCGAAATTCAGCATTCAACAAGTACAGTGGTATCACTAGTTCATTCAGACACCACAGAATCCCAAGTTTGTAATCAAGACAATAACTTGTGTTACATTTAAATTATATACATAGTCGTTTATTCTTGTTCTGTGTTCATAAACACGCCTATTAAACTGTATGCATATTTCACGTCTTATTTATTTCTATTCCCTTATTTTCTCCATTTCCTTCTTTAAACTCAATTCAATATTCTTCTCAATTACACAGAACCTGATTTGTCATTATTATTATTCTATTATTATTACTCTTTTATTAAAATATGGCAAATATAATGCTAACATTATTGAAAATTGTGTATTAATGCATTTTTGAAGAAACCCGAAATGGTATCTTCACAACACTTATGTACTCATAAGATGTTTGCGAATAATAATAATAATAATAACAATAATAATAATAATATGCATCACAATGCACTTGAGGGCTTATATCGGCGACTGCAAACTTTAGATTATTCAGCTAATTTATCCCGGTCGTATTGAAGCTCTTGGCTCTCACTTTTACTTTTTATTACTCTCCATGTCTTCATAACGTCAGCATGTAACAAAACTGATGATGATGGGAGACGAGGAGCAACACCAGCTTAAAAGATATACATTGTAATACTTCGCCAAGCATAGTTTCCCAACTGGACAACTTTGAGTTCACCCGTACTCTTTGTTGACGTCCAACTAGACAGTTCTTTATTCACATCAATAAATTGGCCTAAATCCCGACATTACTTAACTAATATAGCAACCGGCTGTGAGAAACTTCGTCAAAAGCCTTGATGGAGTCAACGTAAGTTACAGCTATAGGCAAGTTTTGGTATTCATGAGCGCGCCAACTTTCAAGGGATACTAATAAGTTAGTGAGACAGGAATATCTTGTTCTAAAGCCATGTTACTTTTTGGAAAGAATCCGGTTTTTGTCGGGATATTTAAACAACTCCTTCTAAATAATATTTTCTAACATTTTAACAACCACTCTGGTTAGGCTCACGGGTCAATAATCCTCAGGTTTATGTCTCACACCTATTTTGAAGATAGAACTTACTGGAGCATTTTTCTCAGTCTTGAGGCAATCGACCCTAGGTTACAGATAGACTAGAATATATGCATGAGGAATTCACGATAAAAGTTGCTAATTCCTTTAGAAACCTAGGATTCATTTTATCGGGTCCCGTAGATTGGCGCATATCAAGCTCATTTAGTAAATCAATGACGTCGAGTATTTTAACAGTCACAGTGTCCAGTGTGTGTAGGCGGGCTTGTATGAACTAGAGGGAAGAATGTCTCCACGTTATGTACATTGTTAAAGTATTTTGAGAATACCTGCGATTTACCATAGTCGCCTTCAACTAATGATGAAGTATTGCTGTCAACCCATGATGCTGAAATATTGCCTCTTCTCTTAGGTCTTTGGTTTGTGTGTGAATATGAGCGTTTAGGGTGTTTTATGGATTTTTGGCAGGCTTTTTACCGTACAAACTTCATCACTTGCGGAGGGTCGAGGCACAGATATTCCAAGCTTCTCGATATTAAGATGTTGTCTCGTCAGTACCCAGTGACCTGAATCTCTCTCACACTCCTCCTTTTAAGGGGAAGGGCGCGGACCTCTTTGTTGGACAACTGTAGGTAATTTCTCAGACTCCTCGGTATGGTCCAAGAGATGTGCGGTGCAGTGACTTTTATGCACAAATTTCTGAATACATCTGAAGCCGCTTTGAATGAGGGTACTCTGGCTCTTTTGACTAATCTATTGAGGACGCAGATTGTATAACATCTCGAAAATTTGCTTCACAGACGTTAGGTCTGGGTTCGAATGACACATGCCCGTTACTGACAACTATATGGAAACCAAAGATTAAGAACTGTATGGTACTTTTACCCAAGGGTGGCATATAATGGAGGTTTGTGATATCATTCTCGTATTAGGTCAATATGAGGTCTAGTGAAAATGATTCTGAGTCCGGGTCGTACTTAGTTGCTTCTTTTACATGTTACACCACGGCACATGTGATAACCACATTACCACATCAGTAGCCCTTGTCCTTTG